TCATTCACAGGAGACACAGAAGAGGATTTTTATATACATAGGAAAGCCACATTAGAATAAGTTCTCGTATTATATTCACTGTGTTCGCATTCGAAACCACATTTTTGTTGGTCACTGTATGTTGCGCAAGTTCTTTTTTGTCCATATGCAAGAACACCCCGAAAAAGATATGTTTTTTTATGCTGCCGCACGTTGAAACATCTCAGAAGAGGAAAGAAAAAAGTTATGTTGTCTCTTTGGACAAAGCTCACCCACATGCAAAGTATTTCTAAGCAAAAAAAAAGAGTATATTTTCTGTGTAATTTGAAAAGAGCCATCACAAAATACCAAGCGTTTTAGCAAAGCAGGAGAGAGAAATTTTTGGTTGAGAGAAATTCAGTGCCCTATTTTCAAAATTCTTTTATTTACATTCCTTTTTTTCTGTATCATTTAACCTCTCACTCTTGAGTTCTCAGTTCAACACCACGATTTTTATTATCACCTTTTAGTCAAACAATTCGATGTTGTCTCATTCGTTGTAGTATTTTATTGGCTATTTATTGAATATTTATCTATGTGTCGTCTTTGTTTACACTGGATACGATGTGTTTAGCGGAGACCGTGTTTTAATATACACCCATTCTCTGTGTGTGATAAGAAATCAATCGACGTTATCGCTGTGGAAGTGACATATTTATAGGATGTGTTTGATGCATTGCAACTGAGGAAGGTGGCCTACAAGAGGACAATTGTAGATCTCTTGGAGCTTGTATATATGTACAATGACGATAAGTGTTTGATCTGTGTGCACACTTAATGGAAGTTTAAGTAGTTGGTTCAGAGCGCAATGTGACGCACGCGGATAGATGGCGACACTAACAAGATTCAACCGAGTTTTCTTAAAGGATTTTCATGTTCTTCTTCATCTTTATGTATCTTCAACATCGTCTCAAGTATTAAGTTTGCACATGCAAACAACCCAATTTCGTCAAACTTTCCCAATTTATTTCAATTGAATTATTATGATAGTAAAGTCAGGACTAGATTGAGACACTTTCAAAATAGTTGAAGTGAATTTAGACTTAGAGTAATTTTTTTTTTGAAAATCACAACAAAATTCTTTAACTACATGTGGAGGAATTAGATAAACTCTTTAGATATGAAATCTAAAGAAATGTGTCCACTTTCGCATAGTTTCAGTCAAATATCCAAAGTTCTTTTAAATCCTTTTTATGGGATAACTTTTGGCGGTCAAATTGGCCTGTTTTCGAAGTTTCAAGAGAAGATTTTTATCGCTCTAATGCGACTGAACAGAACATTGCATTAGGACTACTACTTAGGATTCCATGCACTGTGTCTGTGTGTTAATTTCTTGTATTAAATGTGTACAAATGTGACCTCCACATTGCATTTCTAATGTGCAGAAGCCGCAAAGTGTTTATGATTTCATTCAACATTCACGCTGTATAAAGTCGTCTTTGATGGCATTTTTATATAAATGTTTATTCTGCTAACCTGGACTATAGGTTAAAGTATCACCTGTATATTTCATGTCGCCACCCCCACACTTTTCGAAGGTGAGAGAAAAAAAGGCGGTGTATGAATACAAGAAAGTTGGCATTTTCATAACTTCACATGAGATTTCAATTTAATGTGACTATATCACGTGCTTTCGCACACGAAAGTTCTCCAACGGAGTTTCAAACTTTCTCGCCTCACACTTTTCAGTCACTCCCACGGAGGAGTAGGAGAGGCTCTAAAATTCAATATTTACTGAGATGGAGCCATCAAGAGGGAAACAACATTATTGGAATTCCTCACATTCTCATCACCGATCACACATCGAGACATTAGAAATCACAGCAAATTGTGCGCTGGTTTTTTTATCGTGTTACTCATTCATTTCGTGGAAACTTTTCCTTAAGACACCGAGTCATGAATTCTTATTCGACGAATTTCAAGAGTGTGCGCGAAATTGAATGACGAATTCTGGCACTTTTCATAAAGTTTTTCTCTCCTTTCACATGGCGTGATATGAGTAAGCATTCCAGACATAACTTCTTCTCGTATCAGAGGAACATTCTAAAAATAAATACAAAGTACAAAAGAATAACCATCCAAAAAATTCAATATATATATATTAAAATGTTGAGTTGAACACTTGAGGGGCTTTCGTGCCAAAGTTTATTGGAATAAATTCCGTATTACACTGAATTTTGAGCATTCTTCTGCACTTTCCGGGAAAACTTCATTCATTGGTGTGGTATTCCAATGAAAATTCCCAGCTTCCGTGACCTCTTTCTATTGTGCAACTCATTCCACAATTGACCACTTCACAGTTCATGTGCAACGGCAGCGCACTTGTCACACGACGTGTTAATGTGAATTAAGTGCGCTGAAATATGGCCATACGTCAAGCATCAACATCATTCACGATTTTTTTTTGCTTTGTGTTAAAAAATTAAAAATATCGCTAATTGATGCTTGAAGTGACACGCATAGTATAACAAGTTTTTGTTGCTGGAAATTGAGCACGCACTTATTTTCCTCTTAATTTCCTCCTCTACATATCCCTTATTATTTTCCACCCCTTTTTCATTTTCCAAACAATTTATTTCAACAATGAAATAATTTTTGCGTGATAAAATAAATTTTTTTGTGTGGATCTTTTGCTGGAAGACGCATTCTTTTGTTGTTTCTTCTGGTGGGATAATTGTTTTAATTTTATGTGTATTTAGTTTCATTTTCCCTCAATATGTTTCATTTTTTTCCGTTAAACTACAACTGTTAAAGGTAAACACCACAAAATTTCAAAATTACACAACAAACACACAGTAAAGAGTTGTAGGCAATCTTTCTTCTGCACAATAAAAGTATATATACAAAAGTGAGAATTGATGGTGGATTTTGAAGAGTTGTTTTGCTGTAATATTGTTGAGAGTTTGTTTTTTGAAAAGTCCAAAAAAAGCAGTAAAAAATAGTATGAATTTCACTGTATTTTTTGCAATTTGTTAACCAACCGACAAGTAAAACCTACAATATTTTCTCGTAAACCGTAAAGAGTCCTGCAAACAATGCACCCGAGGAAAAATGTTTGAATGTATGCTGACAGGAATCACTCTATAACCTTTCAGAGTATTTTTCCTGCTTCAAATCATGTGGAAAATCCGAGGAATTTCCTGGCAGTGGTCCAGGAAAGAGAAATTGGGGCGGGTTCAGTTTTTTTTTATTGTTACATTATCGCAATTTAATATGTTTCACTAAATTTTTTCACTCACTATCGTATGATTTGCTCTCTTTTGTTCAATTTATCCGCCAAATTGAATTGTCATTTGTAATTTATGCCAATTTGGCCAGATGCTTGTGACGGTTTTTCGCGCGATACGGTGAATTTGAAAGCGATCATTGATAGTCAGAATGGATGGCAGATGAAATATGATAGCTGGCGTGGTGCAAATTGGAGATGTAGGACTTTCAATTTGTGGTTGTCGAGCACTCGTAACAATTGCTGTTGATCTGATGCAGAGTAAAAAGTATTCTATCAAGCTGTGCACAGAATCACAGGCGTAAATTGTTGTCACAGTCTTCAGAATCTTGCTGTTGAACACCAAAAGTGCCTTTAGGTGTCTCTCTATTCGATGGCTAACAATTGTGAAAGAAAAGGATGTTTATAGATTTGTTTATAAAAAATGGTTTTCCGAATAGAGTGACGCCCAATTACTAATGATTGTTGTATTGAACTTCTTTTTGGGTATTTAATGCAATCAAGAATGTCTAAATGTTTACTATATTATGATGTTTTAAAGCAAAATTTACATACTCTTTCCATTTTGACACTCTCACAAATGTTCACCAACTCAAATGGTTATCAATGAACCCCATCGTGACATCAAGATTCCATGACTTGGATCACGCCAATTACTTGAATGCTTTATGGCTCACCGCCATCACGTTTCTATGCGTTGGATATGGGGATATAGTCCCCAATACATATTGTGGCCGCGGCATAACGCTAACCTGTGGAATGGTGGTAAGTAAAGAAGATGATCTATGAAATTAATGAGGCCTCCGGGCAAAAATTGAGAAATATCATCAACTCTTACCCTTCTCTTCTCCCCTCTCCAAAACTCTATGAATGTTCTGTGTGTTGGCTATTATTACTTAAAGAGATACTATTATCATTTCCCAAATCTCTCTTTCTCTCTCTCTCTCTCTCTCTGCTTTCTTCTTCCTCTGCCACTCTTTCTCTCTCGCTGTGTTTGTTGAGGAAATTTCTTTGTCGAAAATTGTCCAAAACTCCATGCCTTCTGCTCCACAATTTTTGTCCACCAAGAAAAATCCCCTCCGCAACTCCTCTCCATGACTATGTGTGTCTAAATGTGTATGCGTGTGTCTCAAAATTGTAAAGATTCTCTTTTTTCCCCCCATTTGAGGATGAAAAGTACATCCTTTCACATACATATGAGCATTCTCCGTCATTGAGATACATTCCATTGATGTTGTGTTGCTTTTCATCTTGCCAATTCTGAGAATGTGAGTGGCAAAAGAATGAATTCGCAGTGATGGTATAATCTGAGAAAAAGAACCAATGGTTATAAGATGTTTGAGAGAAGAATTCGTAGTTGGTTGGTTCATTTTTATACCTCTCTTCCCCCGTCATGAAAGACCCTGTGTCGAAACTCTTTGTTATCTTTCCACATCAGCAGAATGCAAAAAAGAACCAGCAATTGGGTGTGCGCTTTTCGCGATGGGAATGTAATGTGGGGAAAAGCATATAGAGGCGAAGAGGAAAATAAACAAGCCAGCAAATGAGAGCAAAGGGTGGAATAATGTATGATAAATGGTGTGATCAATTCGTGTGGCAAGAGCGAAATCTGCACTTGCATCGATCACATGAATGGTTGAAAATCTTTGCCATCCATCAGAGACACGCGGAAGAATGAAGAGGAAAAGAAAAGGAAAATCACGTGTAGAATTAAGAAATGAAGAATGACAACACGACGCAATTCCTTTTCCCTCAGATTTCACGATCCGGACAATTTTGCAAATTTGCTGAATAGTATGTGGTTGATTGCGATAACGTTCTTAAGTGTTGGATTTGGTGATATTGTGCCTAATACGTACTGTGGGCGAGGCATTGCCGTCAGTACAGGAATCATGGTGAGTTGCTGTATTCTTTTCGTTTAATTTCCTTTTTGTAACTCTGGGAAGGAAAATCAGGGATATTCACTGGCAGGAATCCCAGTGAATTTCCCTGATTTATTTCTCCCCCAACAATTTCACGTTGTGTTTTTCTTTATGTGATCAAAGGGAAAAGTGACATTATAGACAGAAAATAAATTTATTTGTCTTTAAAATATAGTTTAGACAACGAACACTTTATGTAAATTATTACTCAATTTGCAACAATTAAAAAAAAAGAAGTGAACTATGCAAAGTAATAATCAACTCCTACGCATAATTGCGATGTTACTGCAAATTTAATTTAGCTTGCAATCACCGTAATTTTCTCCACTATGTAGTGACAATGCTGTAGTGATTAAATCATTTTAAATTGACAATTACGCCAGCAAAGCTTCCTTCCCGGCAATCGAGGCGAAGCTCACACAAATAAATTTTCCAGCCGAATGCGTACATTTGATTGCGGAGGGTGAATATTCCACAGAAGCCGCAGAGGTGAAAATTGATTAAAATTCCCTGGAAGGCCTTTCAATCTCTCTCTCTCTCTTATTTAGCAAAATTTCCTCCAACGCGAACAATTACACCTCATTGGCAGCTGGAGGATATTCAGCAAAATCTCCCTGGCAAATTTACAAATAATTGCAACGTGAATATCCAATATCTCCACGTCATTATCAATCTCTTTACTCGCGCTTGTTCGCAAAGTTGTACATTTGGGACGCGCGTAATTTAGCGGAATTGTCGATACTCAATGGGCAGAGATTTATCATGAATATTTAATCAGATTTATGAGGATGCGAAACGCTTTTCCAGGAGCTTAAAATTCATATTATTCCATATTATTCACACCATCGATGCGGCAGAATTTACAAGTCGATATTTCATTTCTATATCGCAAATCTCATTTACTCGTGAATCATTAGAAATTTTCGGTGCGTGACGCAGAGGGTCAAACAAGAGCCTTGAGAAGTGGCACAAGAAGCCGCTTGAAATTCCGCAGAGCCATTTTTTTTATATAGCGCAAAGAGTCCATAAAATTGCAATATAATGCCAAAATATTTATTCTGCACACAAGTGAGATTTGCCTGGGCGATAAGGAAGGGCGTGAGGGAGTTTTTAACCCTGAGAGCCAATAAATCTATTCCAGGGTGAATCTATTTTTATTTATGATTTTCATAATGTCTTGGAAGAAAATTGACAAACAACTGCCATCAGCATGTTTGTAATCCCATCCAAAGATTGTGTCCAGAATATTTGGCTGTCTCTGTGTGTGTGTGTGTGTGTGTCTCATTCTGAGCCTAACGAGGGGTGAACATCGTATCTAAACTTATCTCACCAAATTGCCCAAATTGCTCTGCTTTCGGGGAAAAGTTGTTGAGAAAGCACTTTCCAGTCAAGTTCTGCCAGAAATATTCAGAGTCGTTATATCAATATAGTTGCCATTTTGATGAGATTGGAAAATCTCTGGTGGATTTCTGATGATGAGGGATTTTTCAATTTTCCGTTTAACAAGAAGAAAATGTCAAACCCCCCAATAATGTTCTGTGTACATCTGCACAACAAACCCAGGCAATTTTTGGAGCTTGCCGAGTAAACATAATATCCCTGAAAGCACGCATACATTAAGGAATTCCAGGATGATTTTCTGATATATGGATTTTCTTCCTCCGAACTTTACTGGCGAATATGCGTGGAGTTTTTCGAGGGGAAAGATGGGCGGGGAAAGCGTCTGTGCGAAATTGTGCCAGCGACACATAAACAGTGAGCTTTTTTATGGATGTGACACGCAAGATAAGAGAATGAAAGCTCTATTAAATGGGAGACACAGTGACATTAAAATCTCGCGATTGTCTCTGCCATTCGGCATTTGATGACGCTCAATTGACGATTTATGGCACTTAGTGATGTTCATTGCAATCCTCGCTTGTCTCATCTCAACGATATCTCACTTGAGAGCATCATCATGAAAGAAAATCCACGGGCAGATGGACACAAGAGTCTGTGTGAAAGGGGTGGATCGATAAATGAGGGCGCGCGATGGCAAATTTCATCATGATGCCAATGCAGAAAGTACAAAATTTATGCGGCGACCCTTTGGGCATGATTGGCTCTGCTGGAATCGAGGGCATCTCGTCAGACGAATATATCGGAAATATTGCTCACCCCACAGTATCACTCAATGTATCTCATGTTGAGACAGAAGCACAACATTTCACCCCAGCACAGAAGCACAATATAGTGCGGAGGAACTTTCTCCATTTGGGGCGCCAAGGAGAAGAAGCAAAAAAAAAGAGTGTGTGTGTGTGTGTGTGTAGTTGGAGGGAAGAGAAGAAAACACACCCATATAAAAGTGTCAACATAAACTTTGTCTTCTCTCGCGCAAACCTCCATACATTACAATTCGCTGTGTTATTTACAATTGAGGAGTGCGCACAGCCAGATGAACTCCATTCGTGCTCTTCCTATCCCAGAAAGTATACAATTTTAGTGATTATCTACATCATTGTTATGTGTGTTGTGTATGATACGTCGAATGAGTTGAAGTTAGAGTCTTGCAAGGCACCCCAAACTCCACACCCTTCAGCGCGCTGAAGATTCTGCCCACAAAAAGGGGGGAGGACTTTCAGACAAGAACACCCTCAGGAGACTTCAGACGTCTCACGAGTTAACTTTCTCAAGGACCCACCTTAGGGGGAAATGCATCAAATCATGGAGAGAAAGAAGAAAAATTCATTTACGACGACACTTTGGCAAAAACATAATCAAGTAGAACTTCCACTACATCCCTTGCTTATTATCTACTCTTCACGGGATTATATCGATTTTACTCCTAAATGAAAATCAAATTGAATCGAAATTATTGATTTGCTGTAGAAGAAGATTCGACAATTTTCCCCTTTGGGTTGGGTTTTCCACTGAGAAGCCCATTTCTTTGGTCAGTCTCATAGTTACAAAAGGGTTTTTTTTTCCACCACATACACAAAACCTGCCAGAGAGATCGGAAAGTTCCTCTTTTCTGGTGAAAATTCCATACAGACTTTTTCACCTCATATCCCAATGATGAGGAAGCTTTATTGATTCCTCCTGCTGACCATTGGTAAACACAGAGAGTGGGACAAAAAACCCTTTTCAAGAGCACATAAGAGACTGTGTATTTTAAACCCAAGTGTGAGTGGAATTTTCTCATAGAAGTCAGAGATTTTGGAGGAAATCCCAGTCACTACATATGAGGTTCTTTTTCTGCAATTTGTGTATTTCTAGGGTGCCGGTTGTACAGCTCTTCTAGTTGCAGTTGTTTCCAGAAAGTTGGAATTAACTAGAGCTGAAAAGCATGTACACAATTTTATGATGGATACTCAACTCACGAAGAGGGTAAAGATTTTTTGCTCCTTTTTTTCCTCCTTAGTTGCTATATGCAGTATGAATAATTTTTTGAGGGTTGCGATAAATTGTGCGAAACATTATTGTATAATATATGAGCGTCTTTTTCGCTCCATCGCATTGAATGAGTGACGGCATGAAGAAATGTGTGCCAAATTGTATTTGCATGAAATATTTGGGGCAATTTTACAAATCAACGATCATTGGGATTGTGTTTTATTCAAACTATCACTCAATAAATTGGATTATAGGAAATGTGAAAGCTGGCAAATGTGTGTGTGTGTGTGTGGGTGAGAATTGCAAAAAAATCACTCACATGTTAAATCACCGTGTTCGATGGTTGCACTTTGAAAAATATCCCAAGGGATGATTTTGGCGCTCGCACTCTCAGTTAGCGTGAGCTCGAGCAGTGAAAAGTGCAGTCATTCGAATTAATCTGTAAATTCAATAGTATCCTTTCTCCTCTTTTTTTACTCACAAAACAACCTCATGGCACTTTCAGCTGAAAAACGCTGCAGCGAATGTTCTTCGTGAGACATGGCTAATTTACAAACACACAAGACTGGTTAAACGGGTAAATCCTGGCCGAGTTAGAACACACCAACGGAAGTTTCTACTCGCTATTTATGCGTAAGTGTGCATAATAATGCTGTTGCATTTTTCAAACATCACAAATGCCAAGGTTTCGCCACACGAGTTAATCTGCAATCTTTCTCTGTCATTCACAGACTGCGAAAAGTAAAAATGGACCAACGAAAATTAATGGACAACGCCAACACAATTACAGATATGGCAAAGGTAGAAAATTATCACCTCTCATTCCACTTTTTTTTTTCCTCATCTACTTTGAGTTGGAACAATTTCACGGCGCTAGACAAGAGATAAGAATAAACTATTTCATCCTTCTATGTATTACACTCAATGACAGTCAACAAAAAGTTCCAACTCAAATAGAAAATTTCACGATTCAATGGTTTTCCTTGATTGGATGATTTTCCAAAAAAAAATTTGTCCTATCAATATTTGGGGTGACCATCGAAAAAGCTCTTAATCATTCTCGTCTCATTTCACGCTTCTTCTTATACCAACTCTGTGCCACCGCTTTTCCTCACTTTGCAGACACAAAACACAGTGTACGAAATTGTTTCGGACATGTCATCACGCCAAGACGCCGTGGAGGAGAGACTGTCAAGCCTTGAAGATAAATTGCAGAATCTGCAGGTTGGTATTTTTCATCCACACTTCATTGTGCACAGATACCGGAAGAGGGAAGAAAACTCGTGCTTAAGTGAGTGGGTCTAAGAAGAAATTCTGGAATCGTGTGTTGACAGTGAATACAACGTTTTGAGCTTTTATGGACCAAAAAAATGTCTGGTAAATGCAATGTCCAGAAGAGTGTGGGTCTTTTTTAAATTCCCGAAACGTGGTTCAATTTAACCCTGATAAGGCATGCACGTGGCGATTTATTGAGAATCGTTTGAATATTAAAGCAGAGAGTGTTGAGAGGGCGAATTAAGGTGGGTGTAGTGAAAAGCTCGTAAAAGCTCTCTAAATATTAAGCATTCTCGTGCCGAATTTGCCTCAGCGTGTGTCAATTCTGTCTAATGCCAACTGCCAAAGCTTTGGACGTCTGATATTTTTCACAGGGGAAAAGAGAAGAAGTATCAGTGGAAAAATCAAATGTTCTGGCTGTCAGTGAGGTGCTTGATTAAATTCCCCTGTGAATTTATACCGCGAGAGTGGCAGTAAAATCGATAGCGCGATATTTGGCCAGGAATTCTGCCAGGGTTAGAAATAAAAGGGATTCAACATTTTTAGTCCAATTCTACATGCATACATTTTGCGCAAGGCGAAAGAGTCAATCTATTTTCCTCTCTCTCTCTCTCGTGATTTATGCAGGAGCAAATTGAGGCGCTGCCAGAACTCCTGACGCGGTGCTTGAGCCAACATCAGGAGAGGGTGGATCAGAGGAGGAACTTCCTCCATCCGGATGCTGCAGCCACGGCGTCTTCGTCCAATTTGCCAACACCAGGACCACCTCTAGGATCACCGTTTCCACACTCGAGGTACACTTCCATTCAATTTCCCCCCTCAACATCCCCAGCCATTATGATTCTATTATAGTCAAGCAATATTGAATCATTCACTTGAGACTCTTTTTGCTCTCTCACTCACTCTCTCACTCACCCTCTTTCCCAAAGCTCTCGCGCGCCGAGTTCCATCGGCGAAAAGATACAATCGTCGAGAAGAAATAATTTATTGACTGTATTTTCTCGTTTCTTCCCATAATATTACGCTCACAATCATATATCTTCGTCCCCACACTTCCTCACCAACTCACCAAGGATGACCATCTCTCAGAGATGCGACATTTCCATATTATTTCTTTGATATCGCTGAGTAAATTGAGCCTTTTAATTGCTCTAACGCAATTTATTAGCGCGAACTATAAAAGTTTTCCGCGCATCTCTGAACGACACTCTTAGACATGATCCATCCTTGGGAGACTTATTAATCACACTTTATTTCTGTTTTTTTACAATTTGGTCATGTTGTGTTTTCTTACATTGCATTTAGGAGCCGAAGGACACGAAATGATTGAATGAGTGTGGCATGAAAATCGTTCGTTTGTTACCTGAGAGAGTTTGTCCGAAAAAGTCATTGAAAGAGATGATGTAAGAAAGCCATAAAAAAATGTCTTTAGCACAATGTAAAAAGAAACTATATACCTTACTATATATTTTATACTTTCCTGTATATTGTGAAAAGCAGAGGCAAAAATCTGGAATATTTTGCATAGATGTTATACATATATCTTTTCTCACGGGCAGACAATGTAATAGACAACTTTTTTCTATTTTCCTTTACAACTTCATATATTGCGCTGAAGAAGAAGACAAGAGAACCAATGGAAGATCCCTTCCGACGTTCTTTACTCTCTCTCTCCACTTTCTTTATTCTATTTTCCACGTGTCTATTTGTCTTCATGTCTGACTAACACTTTGAGAGAAAAAGTCCAGCTAAAATGCTGACATGGAATGTTTCTTGAATGTAGATTTTTCAAATGCTAATAACATAACACATTTTTCTTCATTCTCTCCCAAGATGAAACATTTCTTATTAATGTTGAGAATCTCTTTCTCTCTTTGCTGTCCATGCTTAATCTACTCGCATTTCTTCTGTGCTTTCCTGTGCAAACTGAACTGATGGAAAATGGTGCTGACGAAAGAAATGTACGACTTTCCAGTACACCTGCTTCCAATTTAATAGTTTGTCTCGATGTTGTATTAATTGAAAACTACTCTCTGTGATAAACTTTTCTCGCACTGCAGTATTTCACCCATTTCGTGACTGTTCTGCAAAATTTTATTTGAAAAACCGGAGAAACTTTATCAATTCTAAGCATTTGAGAGGTGTATTAGATTGGAATAAATACATGAATTGAAGTAGTTTTCATGAAATAAACTTTTTCCAAAAAAAAGTCTCATAATTATGTCTGAATAAAGTGCATTTTGAAAGTGGATACTATAACATATTGACATAAATTAACTCGAGCTTCAAACTTTCGACTAGATGAACTTTTCATGTGGATTTCCGAATATTTGTTGAAATTTTATCCTCACCCAAAATAGTGTTTTCACCAAGTCATCAAAACTGCTTCCAAAACATTTTACCGTATGCTTTGATAACCATAAAAAATAATAACACACATTTTCCGCTGTGCAACGCCAAAAGAATGTCAAACAAGTAGGTCAAATTGATAAACACAGACATCAGAGTGAACTTGTAACCCGAGCGAAGCGGAATTAACATTGTGTGACCCCATAAAATCATTAATGAATGCTAAATTTTATTGATTTGAGATACTTAGTAGGGACTTTCCAGTCCCTGAATAATAATGACTTAATTTTCTCTCACGACAGGAAATTTCCTCTAAATTCCAATTAAATGTGCGAAATAATTTATAGTCAACTTTCCCTATTACCCATGCTTTTTCCCCTCAATGCTTTGATGTCTCTCTCACTCACTTGGTGTATTGATCTTAAAGCCAACAGCGCGCCTTAAATGCTAATCCCGTCGTGAGACTTTTCATGGAAAGCCCTCGCAATGTATTTTTAATGATTACCCGAGTCTCGTACATGGCAAAAAGGCAATTGAATAAAGTATGGCATTCTCTGAATTTTAATTAAATCAATTACACCGAAATTTAATTAATGTGCCCAAAAGTTTGAAATGTGTGACTTTCACTGACATATTTTGCGAATTCACGTGTCAATCAACTTTTGACTGTTAAAAGGAAAATGCTGTTTGCGTTGGCCAAAAAATTTATGCATTAATAGTCAATCAAATTTTCGCGCGAGCCAAAGAGAGAAAAACGGATATTTACATGTTGTGTGTGAAATATCACAATAAACTGACATTATTGCGGATTTAATATGCCAAATTTTGTGTACAACAGCAGGAAAACAGTGTTGAGGAAAGCATAAAATATATTTTAACACCCTTTTAACAATGGACATTGTCAAACATGTAAAGTCATTTGCGTAAAGAGCTTTCGTGAAGCGCTTTCAGTCCCACATTCTCTCTCATATCTATCCTCCTATGCCTTGTGTGACTATCGGTGTTGGTCATTTGTTGTGGGCTGTGTGTGTAAAGCGGATCAGGGCAAATGGAGTGCCCCAAAGTGGGACGCGCCCGATTTTGGGGTAGTTTGCATGCGGCGGTCTAATGTGTGGCATACATGCTCAGTTTCTCTTTCAGAAGCGTTCCGGCAGCCGCCACGACGCCCGCATATCCGTGGCCGGCCAGCCCCATTCTGCCGCCCATCTCCAGCCGGACGCCACACCTGGTGCCGGAGACTCTCGTGCCCACGTCGAACGGCCAGGACGCCACGAGCTACCATCCCGCGCGCGGCAGCAGCTGAATGGAAGCCCGGTCGTCCTCAGACGCCTCCGACTCTTCTGGCCGTGACGCCGCCGCCGCCGCCGCCACCAAGTTCACGAAGCGTCGCGAGCGCGCGGCACGCTCAAGTGTGCACCTCGAGAGCCTCGAGAGGAGTCCCGAAGACAGTCTAGGTAAATAAGATTTCACTGTATAAAAACCTCCTGCCTCGAAAATTGTTAACCATCTCTAGAGAGAAAGAAGAGAAGTGTATTTAGTGCATTGTACCATTTGAAGCGTAGACGACACACATTTCTATATATTGTATTGACGAGGAGAAGCGAGTAGCACTGCCCAGAAGCTGGGCAGAGATTGCATTGAAATCGAGAAGCTTTCCTTTAGGCCAGCTCAGTAGAGACTTTGACATCTTCTCTGTGTGCATCTCTCAAGGCGGTGTTCAAATCCAAATGTTTTCTTAGGACAAAGAAGCATCTCAAACATCCTGCAGAATGCTGGATAAAACGAATAGGTTTCAAATCTGGACCACTATTCATCACGCGCTAATCATTTAATGCTGCTGTATTGATTCTGTCAAATCCCTGCTTTCCATCCAATCAGGTAGTTATATTTAGTTTTTCAATTTGCATTTATAATTCACACTGGACTTAATTCAATTAAAGTTACACTTTAATGAAATTTAATGGGTGTTTTGGTTCGTGCCACGTAAAGAGCGTGGCAATGGAAATTATGATGCCCATATTTAATTAATAAACTGCTATGTGAATGTACTGAATTGTGTGCACAAAAGCGCAGGTGAAAACCGCAATTCAGTACATAAATTGGGCCATTCTTTCCGCACATTCACATGCATTTGAACACCCCTTGGCCAGTGTTCGTCAGTCAGCATTGTGTCCACTTGAGTGTGGCATGATTTTGCAATTAATCCTCTAAAAGGGTCATTTTGGGAGATGGAACAGCACAGCAATGTCACTTTAATTACCGCATGACTTTCCATTGAATGCTTACACTTAAGACAAGCTCAATAGTCCAAATGGCAGATGGCACAGGAAGATGTTTCTCAAGTAGGGCAGATTTTACTAGGAAGAAGAAAAAAAGACAAGCGTTTCATACATGTTTTTTAACAATATACAAAAACAATGCAAACATCGCAAGACGGAGTGCAAGAGTGAAAGTAGTGAAGCAACCGGCCAGGATAATTACCAGAGACAAACCTTAACATTTAGGCATTTTTGTATACATTTGGTTCTCTTAGTGCAAAAGCAAAAACAAGAAGAAGTGTGTATTTCAAGAGTGTAGAAATTGTATAAATAAAATCATAGATGAACACACACACAAGTGAGAAATTGTCGAAGACAAATTTATTGCGATTCGCAAGAAAAGCTTTATCGTTTTATATAGTTAAGAATAAAAAGGGGGCGCGAAGGTGGGCAAAGAGGGAGAGAAACAAGTGGCGGTAAGGTGAGGATAGAGGCAAATAGTGTAAACAGTTGAATAAGTATATTTAAAGTGAGTGACAACAGTTTATTGAACATACAAGAGAAGTTTAGTGAATTGATGAGGCGTGAGAATTATTTATTGTTCAAAAGTAAATAAACAGAGCGAGAGAGTTTGTGGAAGTGGAGGAAAACAGAAAAACTTTAGGGTGCCTGCATTATGCTAAGACATTACCAAGAGAGAGAGAACGAAAATGTAACTAAATTATACTCCAGTCTTTAAGTAAATACTCGGCAAAAAAAAACACACCCTTCAGCGCTCATTAGATTATTTCACGTGTGGCGCAGAAAAAACATCCCACAAGATGAATTTCCTAGATCGATTTATTGTAATTTCTTGGTCACCTTCTTCTCGCACAATTTATGTCAATGAAGGAAGAAAGTGGCTCTCGTGTACGCGCAGAAAAATGGCCACTTTAGCAGTGAAAACATTATTCCTTCCATTGAAGCGCAAAGTTTCCTTTTCTGCAACTCCTTATTGAGTCTGTCACATTACTTTTCCCCCCCAGAGTGGCTCTTTTCAGCATAATTTCTCTGTTCCTCCTTTCCCTCTTCCGCAACTCTCTGCATCTTGGCACAGTCTCGAGTGCATTAAGTTGGCTAAGATGGAATGCAGAAGCTATATTTGCCCCTCAAAGAGGTTCTCGCCATAGATATGCAATCGCAATGTTGCATTTATCTCCCTAGTGATAAGGAATTATATACACACATACACTCTTAAATGATGGATATTTAATAGGAATGCAAAAAAAAAGGTGAAACAGTCGTCAAATGCTGTGAATTTTAGTGTAAAGAAAAACTGAGCATTAACAGAAGAAAAGAATAGTGACGAAGAGAAAATCTCAAAGTAGCACGGAAAAGTGTTACTCTAAAAATGAAATAAAAGTCAGAGAAGAAAAAATTATATAATATAAAGATGCGTCATATTTTCCACAATATTGATGAGAAGGAATAAGAAACATTTTAGGAGATAGTGAAAAAAGAAATTATTAAATGTTTATATTTCGATATTTCTATATTCAATGTGAAATCCAAGTGAAATTTTAAGAGAAATCCTTTCCAATATTGAAAAAAAAAAAATTAGATATGTAACGAAGAGAAACAAAAATTAAGTCCCTTGCGTAAATTTCTCTTAAATGTCTTGTAAAAGAAAATTCGAGGCAAAAAATCTGTTATTTATTTTCACTGTATGAACTGTAAAATCAAAAGGAATAACCAAAACAAAAAAAATTGATTCTGGGACGCAATAATTTTTCTCACACGCGATATTTTTCTCAAAAAAAAGAAACTAAAAGAAAAGCATAAGAACTGACGCACAAACTGATTAGATTGAACCTTCTTACTTAAGTCTGGCCACAAAGAGCACACAAAATAGGAGCAACTGATGAAATAGACGGTTTCTGCATCGTTTTCACTTATATCTACGGACTTAGAAGGGGAAACTGTGAGTGATTCTCTTCAGAATGGCTTCGGGCGGCAATTAAGCACTGCAGTGACAACGTGGAATTCACTCAAGTGATTTATCATCATAACATGTCGCACGATGACACACTGACTCACTCAGTCCCATTGAATTCTTGCTCGTGTTGATCGATTGCACATGACAAAGGCAGGAAGTTCTCGTGATTTTCACTTAATCCTCCTCCGGATCAAATGCTTGACCTGCGGCACAAGTGCCTCACAGTAGGAGAAAAAAAACCCCTTGGAGAGTTATTCTTCAGAATAAACGCCCATTGGATTACTTTCAAAATTCATAAGAATACCGCCCCAAAGCAATTTCTCTTTACCGTTTCCCATGAATAATTCAGGCTAGTTATGCAGCAGAAAAAAAGACAGATTCCCTTAATCCGGAAATTGCGTATTGTTTTTCTCTCGAACACAACATCGCACGACGTCTGATGGCGATAATAGGAGATGCGATAAGATGAGAAACAAGAAGAGGATGAAAAATACTTTAGAAAAAATTCGATGATATCAAAGGCTGTCGGGTAATTGCTTTAATTTTGTTCTTGTACCAAAAGAAGAGATGTGAAGATTAACTCTTAATTGTCTCTTAAGATAAGAGATTATAGGCAAGAAGAAAGCTGTATGGAATTATGCAAAAACTAAAGAAAGAACTAACGAAGTTACACTGTGGAAAAGAAGAAGCAAAGCAGAATAATCGCTAAAGAGAGTTAATAGAAAATCATATTTCAGTACCTTCAGAAGGCATTAATAACTCTTAGCGGTTGGAGAACAGATAGAAAAAATCCGAGCTATATACTCTTAAAACAAAGAAGAAAAAAAAACAGATGAAACCTTGATAAAAATATATACTATATTCTAGAAAATATTATATAAACAATTATTACTTGAACTAGTAAAAAGTAACCTTAAAGGAAATAAAAAAACGTGGGTATTGAAAATTTCCCAACATTGACCAAACTAGCATTAAAGATAAAAGAGTAAAACATTGTAGAGTGTATAAATTAATTAAAATATAGAACTCCCGGTGTTAGGTGTGAATGAGAGGAGTTTTTAGAGAATGTAGGCATAATTTTTTTTTACTTTCTCTGTTTGTTCAAAATCTCGTTGAATTTGTTGAATATTTTCATCATGTTTTCATTCTCGAAAACCAATTACAAGTGATATGATAAGAGACCCTTTGTTGATTAGTTTTATAATTGTTTTCTCCGCCCAATTCTAAGTTAAACTCTTGATAAAGAAAAACCCTTTAAAAACCCCCCACTTTTTCGCTGTAATCTTCTCTAAACCACTCTAACTGAACAAAAAGGTATTAGGAATTATATTAAAAGGTTCGTAAATTAATTATAAACTGAGAGAAAAATTAAAGCATAAAGTCCGATTCATTATTAAATTTATGAAACGATGAATCTTATTAATAAAATCTAGTTAAAAATCCAATTTTACTGTATTAAAAGTTAAATAAAAGAGTGTAACAATTTAAAAAAAAAACACCTTGAAGTTTCTATGCAATTATAAACTTTATAAATTGTGAACATATTAAAAAAAAAACACTTTGAAGAAAAAAACTAAAAGTTATCTTCTTAACTCTATCTTATATCCAGTAAATACTCTCTAAAAAAAATGTGTTTCTTGTTGATGATGTGAAAATATCGAAAAAATATGAAAATTGTTTATTTTTCCTTACGAAAAAAATCCCCTCTTTAAGCTAAAACTATTTATGATATTGAAAATTATTTAAAAAGAGAAAAAATGCGAACAAAAAGAATTCCCCAAATGAATTAAAACACTCATAATATGATATAATGTGGAAATAATGTATGAATAAAATGAGAGAAATATAATGAAATAGTTAACAAAATTATTTGTATGAAAAATAAAGAATCTGAAATGAATATTCATAATGATTATTAAAAAAAAATATCCCACAGAAATTTTCAGAGGCCGTAAAAAGATAGTTCACAATAATTGTATTGCATTAAAAATATTATTATAATAATATTTCCAAAGTAGAACCGGCAATATTCATTTTAATAATGAAAATATAGTGGAATTTATTAAAATTTTTCCAAACTCATTAGAGTGAATTGAGAGAGAGAATTTAATTTGATAATTTTAGGTGAATTTTCAGCACCATTTATTGATAAAATGAAAAATTGTAGTTATGAATTGAGATAAAAATGGTTTTAATCCCTATTTTGAGGATGTTTCTGACGAGAATGATTAGGATAAAAAAAAATCTGTCTTGAATCGAAACTCTGGCAATGACGAGGAAATAAAGCTTTAAAAATTTTATCTGTAATTTCACGACAACAACTTCAAGATCTGAACGTTGAAAATGTTTACAACTAAGAACACTTCAACACGAAATACAATTGAGAATCATTCTCAGCAGAAACAACCCCATAAGAATATTTGTATATAGAGTACATAATATATTGTTACATAGTTTTAAATACCAGAAAAAAAGAGAAGGAAAAGATATATAATGAATCTGTTTGCATATCGGGACATTAAAATCAATTAGTAAAACCAAATTAAATAGTATTTCCGCACCCGTTTTCCGTGTGTTTCCGCTCTAAATGTGGCGCTTCGATGAATTTTTCATGAGGAGTCGAGCCTGATTTGGGGTCGAAAGCTTCCTGTTCCTCCATGGCAGCGTTTAATTATTGGATGTTGGGTGGAATATTTTCCCAAAGCGATTTCCCACAAAGATTCTCATCTTTCATTCACTCTCCGGTGGCGACTCAAACTGGACGGATAATGAGGCAATTCCTTTTTGGTGAGCTTTTCTCTGTGAGAAAATTCCAGGCAATCTGCTGAGGGGTGTTTTCTCACTCTTGTGATATCACGCAGATTCCGTTGGAGTGCAGGAATTGTTGGCCCCTCGATTTTTCAGCGCTCCATCACTTCATCAATCTCTTCACACTCTGTGATGCTGGCTAATTAATGAGTGGAAGTGATAAGAATCTTCAGCAATTATCCCTTGTTAATTGCAAGCAATAATTAGCTGCCCGTGATGTTCTTTCCGCCATCGACAGAGATTTCAATCGATAGTGGAAATGCTATAAAAGTCAACAAGAGGAAAGCTCTGCGGCCCAGAAATGAGCGACACACACAACAGTCCCAGCAGAGACAATGAAGAGTGAAGTGTTGTTATCTCTAGTGATAGTCTTCGTGGCGTTTCAGCCCTTCCCGGGCGCAGTGAGTGATCAATTATCCCTCTGAGGGAAGGAGAAGCGTCAACCCTCTCTCACTTCTGGTGCACTTTCAGAGATGCCAGAACGACGTTCCAGAGCGACGAGCGCTGTCAGACGATCCGGAGGAAGTGAATCGCTTCCAGAGGCAGGCAAAAGCATTCTCCAGCGTCTATCGATATGATGATGAGCCGAGAGAGCGCGCCAGAAGACACAGTCCACCCAAGCCAGAGCAGCCTTATCCGCATCCAGAAACTCTGCCTCATCAGGACTTCCCGCAGCCACAGAAGATCGTCGAGAGAGTGCGGAGATTCGCCAAGGGCACAGGTTCTCTTCCCCAAAGGAAGGGTTGAGAGGTTAAGAATGCATCTTTTGTACAGATTTTGAGGACTTGCGACAAATAAAAGAAGCTGCAGCAAAGAAAAGGACTTAGAGAAAAATGTGGGAAAAGTGTTTTCCCGCCTCTTTCTCATCCACTCTAAAATCCCAGTCACCAGAGGCGCTGTTGGCACTTAGCGGCCATCGAAGAATGTTGTCTCTTTCTGGTTTTGTTTACATGTCTGGATAAAAAGCAGAGGTGAATGAGTTTCTTGTGAACAATGGACAAAAAACCACTGGAAAATGTGATTTTCCTCCCGGACGACTACATGGAAAGCATTTGCCGAATCTGTTTAGGGTCTGGCAGTGAAATGGCGAACGTCTTCTCAAGTCTGGTGCTGGAAATGAGCGATGAAGAGGATGTGAAGATCTCCGATTTGGCAGCCTTCACACTCAATCTATTTGTGAGTGCTTCCACTTTGATTTCCGTTCAGATCTTCTGGTGATTGAAGTCACTAATGCTCTGGGAGTATTTGCAGATCCATCCGGATGATAAATTGCCAAAGAACGCCTGCAAACCGTGCATAGACAGCATTCTGGAGTTTCGGGGCTTCAAGCTGAAGGCGCAGGAAGCGGAAAGGAATCTAATCTGCAGCTTGGAAGCGCTCGAGGAGAGACTCAAGGCAGTCGAGGAGGAACTGAATGATGCGACTGAGAAGGAGGTGAAAGTAGAGGAAATAATTCCTGAGGAAGACGCCGCGGAGAATGTCGAGGATGTTGAACATCTTCAGGGAATCAGTGAATTTTTCTGTTCAAAGTGTGGGAAATACTTCCAGAATCAACTTCAGCTTGAGTCTCACATAAAATACCACGAATCCACGAGATTAGTGGCCACTTACTGCACTTTCTCCACATGTGATTCCTGCCACACTGTCTTCCTCACGGAATTCCAGCTGTCCAAGCATCTGGCAGAGTTTCCGGAACACCTGGAAGCGCATCAGATTCTGGAAGATTGTGAATACTCTTGTGGTGTCTGTGCGCAGAAACTGCCGCAGATTGACGAGCTGAAAATGCACGTCTTCCAGCACTCGGAGAAATTCATCTGCCCCGTCAGGGCGTGCGGCTGGGAGTACGGTACCTTCGCCCGACTGAGCTTCCACATGAGGAAGAAGCACGTGCAGAAGCTGGAGCACAAGTGCGAGTACTGCTTGGTGACGTTCGAGGACTACACGGCGCTCAGGACGCACATCAGATTCAAGTGCGCCGAACGGAAGTTCAAGTGTTCGCACTGTGACAAGTCCTTCTTCAACAAGAAGGCTCTGCAGTTCCACCTGAAGTGCGCCAATGACAAGAACTTCATTTGCGAGGTGTGCGGCAAGGGCTTCGGCTATCGTGGCGATCTCACCATCCACATGAGGACGCACACGAACGAGCGGCCGTTCAAGTGCAAGATCTGCGGGAAGACTTACAAGACGCCCAGCATGAGAATTGCCCACATGGACGTTCACATTGACGGCAAGACTTATCCTGTGAGGGAATTCAAAGGTTACCTGGATTGAAGAGGGCATTTTCCTGACACTTTCCTGTCTTCTGCTTTCAGTGTGATATTTGTGGATTGAGATTGCAGTCCAAGGCGAGCTTTCGCGGCCACATGCGGCGCCACAAAGAGTACAAGCAGCACGGCTGCGACATCTGCGGCCGGCTGTTCAACAGCAAATACCGTCTAAAGGTCCACAAAGTGGGATTTCATAAGATAATGCCCAGCGCTTAGGTAAGATTCCCTTCAATCGCACTTTATTTACTCCTCCAAAATCAAACAAAGACTATCAAATAAATTACAATTATCGCAATTAGCTAATTCCTGAGCGGCATTTGGTTGCAGAGTCAGTTCAATTCAGTCTCAGAGAGATTCTTTTTCGGAAATTTCCGCCATCTGGAGGCTCTTCTTCCAGAACCACTCGGCCAGGGAGTCTCTCTTCGCCTCATCCGACGGTTCAATCTCCTCGCAATCGCTGAAGAAGCGTCCAGAAACACCCTCGAGATCCGGATCCATGGCCAGATATAACGCTGTCTGTGCTGCTGATCGCGGAGACTTGAAGAAGTACTCCAGAATGTACGGATTCACTCGCTTAACGATGCAATTCGGGAGAATTCGATTAGCTGTGTAGCCCTCGTGATAGCAATTGACGGTGACGTTGGTGTTTGTCAACTTCTTGGCCAGACAACGCGTGAAGATCACATTGGCGAGTTTGCTCTTCATATAGGCAGACGCTGCAGACATCTCACAACGCTCCAGAGTCAGTTTCCTGGCAAATTTGTGCAGTTTACTCGCCAACACGACGATTCTGCCCGATGGAGACTTCTTCAGTGCTTTCATCAGCAGATGTGTGATAAGAAAATGTCCATAATGATTGTGAATCATCGCCCATTCAATCCCATCTTCATTCTGTCCGCCTTGGAAATCTTCGGCGCAGTTAATGAGGATGTCCAGCTGTGTTTCTGTCTTGTAAAAGTGGTCCACAAACTTCCGGACAGAGTCGAAAGACGCCAAGTTGAGATCGTGCACATAAATATTAGTATTTCCCGTTCTGTCAATGATCTCATCGATGATTTCGTGTCCTTTCTCACTAGCATCCTTCATGCCTATGATGATCTTCGCCTCTCTGCGCGCCAGATTCACTGCAATCTCCTGTGCTGATTCTCCTCCAGTGATCACGACAACTTTGTCCTCCAGCATCAAATGAGTCTTCCGGAACTGCCCGCCTTGAGTGTACTTTCTGCCAAAGAAGATCACCAATAAAATCACGCTGGACAGCTGAAAATCTCCTCAACTTACTTGACTGGCGCGAGGAATCTCCTCGGCATCGCCAAAGCGATTGTCCATAACACATTAAGGACCATTAGAGTCCTCCTGACCACTGTTCTCAGCATTTTTCACCACGTTCTGTCACTACTTTGGCGTATTCCGGCAAAAACAGCCCGCAAATGTCGAGTCACGGCGTCAAATAAGCAGGTTTCGGGTCTCTTTTTGCCCAGTTATTTTTGTCATGGGCAGCGAGAGAAGACAAAAGCCATTAACTTTGATAATTGTTGTGAGACCAATTGCAAGGTTGAACTTTTGCCTACTCGTTCTCATGCACTTCACAATATATTTATATCTCAATCGCTCACTTTCCGCTTGCCTCTGATGCTTTATTCAAGTACAGTGCTTACAAACTGATAATAGAAATTATTGATATTTCTTGCCATATGCAAAATCACTGGGAATCTTGGTCAGACGAAGACTCTCTTTCCAGATAAAATCACTGATTTCTTCGTCCTTCGCTTGAGCTTTCATGTGTTTCTCTTTTACTTCTTCACAGTCACTGCAAAATATACATTGAAAATTATTAGAAAAAAGCTTAAATGGTGAGAAGAAAACGCACCTGAAGTATTTTCCAGAAACTCTGGACAGTTCAGGATCAACAGCGCATCGAATTGTCGTCTGAGCGCCGGATTTAACAGATTTTGTAATCAAAATGCGGAAGAGAGGATTAAATATCCATTCGACGAACTTTGGAATGTTCATATTCCTTCCGATTTCAGTTTGAATGACTCCAGGATGAAGACTGTACACCGTCACATTAGTTCCTTTCAATTCCTTGGCAAATCGTTGAGTTGTGAGAACTTGAGCGAGTTTCGAATTCCCATAAGCCAAAGATTTGTCAAAAGACTTTTGCAAATGAAGATCGTTCTTATCAATCTTGGCTCTGGTGTAAAGATAACTCGAGACGTTCACGATTCTTCCTTGCGGAGCTTTCTTCAGGTGATCGAGCAGAAGATGAGACAGCAGAAAGTGCGATAAATGGTTGATTTGCAAGGTTGATTCACAGCCATCTTGAGTCATTGAGTGAGGAATGAAAAAGACTCCAGCATTGTTGATGAGAACATCCAAATGCTTTTCTTCCTTGCAGAAGTTTTCAGCAAATTCTCTCACTGATTTTAGAGTTGTCAAGTCGAGATGACGATTGTAAATCTTTGTGTTTCCTGTTTCTTGAATGATTTCCTGTCGCGCAGCTTCGCAACGATCGCGATCTCTGCACGCCAAGTAGATTTTGGCATTTCTCCTCGCCAAATCCAACGCGGTTTCCTTTCCAATTCCTACAAGTCATTGCAAATTTCACCACATCACAATTTATTGATAAGAATTGAATCTCACCTGTGTTCGCTCCTGTTATAATCACGACTTTCCCGTCCATTTTTACGTCATCCTTTCTGAATTGACCGCCTTCGAGATACCGTCTGTAGAAGAACATCAGCAAAACAGCCGCTCCTGCGCCAAGAAGGTACTTTTCATTGAAAAGCTCCTTCCAACTTCCAGTTTGCTCAATGAACTCCATTTCGCTTTGACGGTCACAACGTGAGTGATAAAGTAGAAGTTTTGGGAATCAAAAACAAGCTGATTGTATTATTTTATCTCTCGGGAATTCTCTGTAAAAAAAACAGATACCGATATTTATAGATAGTGCGCATATCATGCTGTGAAACATAATGTTGCTTGAGTCTAAAATAGCTTTGTGAACATTTATTTCAAGTTATATTTCTAAAATTGTCCTGCAGTTAATCAGTCTCAAGTCTACTGATATTTCTTGCCGTAGACAAAATCACTGGGAATCTTGGCCAATCGCAGACTTTCTTCCCAGATGAATTCACTGATTTCCTCATCTTTTGCTTGCCACTTTAGCTGCTTTTCTGTGACAATTTCACAATCACTGCAATGAAATTGTATCAGAAAGTTAAGAGATTAGATAAGGAAGCTTTCTTTAAAATTCTGACTCAGCAAGAAAATTATTACCTGAAGTATTTTCCAGAAACTGTGGCCAAATCAGGATCAACGGCGCATCGAATTGTAGTTTGAGCACCGGATTTAAGTGATTTTCCAAAGAGAAAATGCATCGGTGGCATGAGAATCCATTGAATAATCTTTGGAATGTTCATATTTCGCCCAATTTCCGTCTGAATTGCACCTGGATGCAAACTGTAGACCGTCACATTGGTTCCTTTTGAAGTAAAACAGTTGCTTTTATCCTTTCTGATTAAATTTGTCGCGTAAGTCTTATAAATTACCTTGCAATTCCTTAGCAAAGCGTTGAGTTGTAAGGATTTGAGCGAGTTTAGAGTTTCCGTATGCCTTAAACTTCGCGAAGGACTTTTCTAAATGCAAGTCATCCTTGTCAATCTTAGCCATTGAGTATCCAACACTGGACACATTCACGATTCTTCCTTGAGGAGCTTTCTTCAGGTGTTCAAGCAGAAGATGAGACAGCAAAAAGTGACTCAAGTGATTGACGTGCATGTGAACTTCGCATCCATCTTCAGTGATTGAGTGAGGAAGGAATAAGACTCCAGCATTGTTGATGAGAACATCGAGCTTTTCTTCCTCCTTTAAGAACTGCTCAGCAAATTCTCTGACAGATTTCAGAGTCATCAAGTCGAGATGTCGATTGTAGACTTTAGTATTTCCTGTTTTCTCGATGATTTCTTGACGAGCAGCTTCGCAACGATCATAATCTCTGCACGCCAAGTAGATTTTGGCATTTCTCCTTGCCAAATCCAAAGCAGTTTCCTTCCCAATTCCTGTAATAATTTCATTCAATTTCAAGTCACGTCGGCCGGCAATGATAAGAATTAATCTTACCTGTGTTGGCGCCGGTTATGATAACAACTTTTCCATCCATTTTGACATGATCCTTTCTGAATTGACCGCCTTCGATGTATTTCCTGTAGAAGTAAATTCCTGCAATCGCCGCTCCTGCGCCTAAACAGTATCGCACTTCCAGAGGAACACTTTCTTTCAGGCTGTCGCCCAATTGGGCCACTTGCGCAGAGACGTGATTGAATAAATCCATTCTGTTCAACTATCAGAACTTGAATGATATTCCAAAAAAGAAACCCAAAAAGCCGTGTGCATGCGAGACACCTTATCTTCGGTCATAACATTAGATAAGAGATTATTGGATCTGTTTCCAGTCAAGCATAGAAATGTTAAACGTTCAAATATGATAAAATAATCATGATAAAATTATTCTTTTCTATACTTTATTGATTTACTTGCTGTAAATAAAATCACTGGGAATCTTGGCCAGACGCAGACTTTCTCGCCAAATGAATTCACTGATTTCCCCATCTTTAGCTTGAAATGCCATTTTCTGGTCCTGAACTTCTTCACAATCGCTGTAAAATGGACATAATATTAAAATATAATGCAAATATGATAAAAAGAAATCTTACATGAAGTATTTTCCAGAAACTGTGGACAATTCAGGATCAACGGCGCATCGAATTGTCGTCTGAGCGCCGGATTTTCTTGTTTTCCCAAAGAAAGTCATCAAAAGCGGATGAATTATTTTAATAATGCATCTTGCTATCTTTGAGACTCCTGTATTTCGTGGAGTAATTGTCGTTTGAATATATCCAGGATGCAGACTGTTAACCGTCACATTGGTTCCTGTTGAAGTAATAATAATAATAAAATTGAGGCATAATTCTCAGAACACGCCTAAAGTATTAATACCTTTCAATTCCTTGGCTAAGCGTTGAACTGTGAGAATGATGGCGAGTTTAGAATTTGCATAGCGTATTAAACCTGTTGGACTGGAATTCTCGAAATGCAGATCATTCTTGTCAATCTTTGCATTTCTGTAACCGAGACTTGAAACATTCACGATTCTCCCTTGCAGAGCTTTCTTCAGGGGTTCAAGCAGAAGATGAGACAGCAGAAAGTGCGACAAGTGGTTGATCTGCATTGTTATTTCACAACCATCTTCAGTTATAGAGTGAGGAACATAGAGAACTCCAGCATTATTAATAAGAACATCAAGCTTTTCTTCTTCCTTCACGAAATCTTCAGCGAATTCTCTCACTGATTTGAGAGTTGTTAAGTCAAGATGACGATTGTAAATCTTTGTGTTTCCTGTTTTCTCGATGATTTCTTGTCGCGCAGCTTCGCAACGATCGCGATCTCTGCACGCCAAGTAGATTTTGGCATTTCTCCTTGCCAAATCCATCGCGGTTTCCTTTCCAATTCCTATAAAAAATCATTTTGGATGGGGTTAGATTATTCTCACTTAAATACACGGACAGCTTCAGTGTTATTTCTCTCTCTCTCTCTTTATAATACCGAATAAGTAATTTCTTCACATTCTTGATTCGACGTTCAATATCACTCGGCAACATTTCATTCATCACGCGTACAAAAATTATGTAATTGTTTAGAATAGCTCAATGAAAGTTTTCAGTTCTTCTTCAGAATATTCCAAGCCCGATGAAAGAGAAATAATATTTCATTTGCTAATTACAATGACCTGTATTTCCTCCTGTTATAATCACAACTTTCCCGTCCATTTTCACATGATCCTTCCTAAACTGGCCTCCTTGAATATATTTCCTGTAGTAGTAAATCCCAACAACAGCTGCTCCTGCGCCTAAAAAGTATCGCACTTCACGAGGAACACTTTCCTTCAGGCTTTCGCCCAATTGCACCATTTGCTCTGAGACGTGATTGAATAAATCCATTATGTTGGACGGTCAAAACGTGAATGAGACCCGAAACAGCTTATTTAGAGCACTTCTTATCGTCGAACATTACATAAAAGATAACTCATACATGTATCATATTTTTATTACTACATTTGAAGAAGCAACAAATTTACTGCTTTTTCTTGCTGTACACAAAATCTCTGGGAATTTTGGCCAATCGCAGACTTTCCTGCCAGATGAATTCACTGATTTCCTCATCTTTGCCTGGAGGAAGTAATTTCGACTCCTTCACTTCTTCACAGTCACTGAAAAGGACAATTTTCTGTATCGAAATTCTGGTCAATTTATTAAATTGGTTTTACCTGAAGTATTTTCCAGAAACTGTGGCCAATTCAGGATCAACGGCACATCGAATTGTCGTCTGAGCGCCGGATTTCAGAGATTTGCAGAATAGAAATTTATTAATAGGTATTAAAATCGAAATAATGATCCTTGGAATGTTCATATTGCGCCAAATCTCCGTAACAATAACTCCAGGATGAAGACTGTAAGTCGTCACATTGGTGCCTGAGAACAATTATAACTTTAGTAAAAGATGAAACTTGAGCAGAAATTTCTCTTAAATTATCATTTACCCTTGAGTTCTCTGGCGAATCGCTGAGTTGTGAGAACTTGAGCGAGTTTTGAGTTACCATAAGCTCTCATTTTTCCAAAGGACTTTTTCAGGTGAAGATCGTTCTTATCAATATTGCCATTTCCATACGCAAGACTTGAAACATTCACGATTCTTCCTTGCGGAGCTTTCTTCAGGTGCTCAAGCAGAAGATGAGACAGCAGAAAATGCGATAAATGGTTGATTTGCAAGGTTGATTCACAGCCATCTTCAGAAATTGAATGCGGTAAAAAGAAAACTCCAGCATTGTTGATGAGAACATCCAAATGCTTTTCTTCCTTCATGAATTCCTCGGCGAATTTCCTTACTGATTTCAAGGTTGTTAAGTCCAGATGACGATTGTAAATCTTTGTGTTTCCTGTTTTCTCGATGATTTCTTGACGAGCAGCTTCGCAACGATCGCGATCTCTGCACGCCAAGTAGATTTTGGCATTTCTCCTCGCCAAATCCAACGCGGTTTCCTTCCCAATACCTGCAAATCATTGCAAATTTCACCACTTCACAATTTATTGATAAGAATTGAATCTCACCTGTGTTCGCTCCTGTTATAATCACGACTTTCCCGTTCATTTTCACGTCATCCTTCCTAAATTGAGGACCTTCGATGTATTTCCTGTAGAAGTAAAGGATCACCAGCGCTAATCCTGCTCCCAAGAGGAACATTCCTCCAGAACAACCACTGCACACCATCGCGCTTCAATGTTCAACGCCTGAATGACTGTCGAAAAGGTGAGTGAGCCAAAAACTTTATCAGCGGCGAAGATAAACTTTGGTTGATAGGAAAAAAGAATAGATAGATAAGCTTTATTCATGCACTTCTGTCCCACATTTCCGTAAGTCTCAAGCTCTCGTGCCACAGCCATTCCGTTGTCTGCTCGTCTTTGGCCTGCGGCGCCACTTCCTCCTCTTTAACATCACTGTAAAAGAGAAATCGGGTGTGAAAAGCCACGCAACACTCAAGTTCAATCGATGTGCGGTATTGCAAAGAAATTCTGTTGTACAACGTCTAATGAAATGGCAATGAAATGATAAGATTAAGCATTGACCTTCACCTTAGAGCAGAGTTCTTTGGAGCAGAAATAATAGGTGTGGATGGTTTATCGATTGTCGTTTGTCGCATGAATCTTTTACGATTCAGTGACTCACCTGAAGTACTTTCCGCTGATGAACTCGAGCTTTGGCTCGACGGCCAACTTGATGGACGTTTGGGCGCCCGAACGCGGTGTCTTCATGAAGAACGTGGACAGAACCGGACCCACGGCGTGCGCGATGCGATGCACTCTCAAGTGGCGCGTGATGTTGGTGAGAACGTTGCCCGGATTCACGGCGTTCACCGTGACACGCGTGCAGCGCAGCTGATGCGCCAGGTATCGCGTGAACATCACCAGCGCCAGCTTGGACTGATTGTAGGCCGTGAGGCGTTCGTAGCTCTGCCGGCTGTCCAGGTCGTTCTTGTTGATCTGACCGGCGAAGTGGAAGTACGACGATACGTTCACGATGCGGCTCGGCTCGGACTTCTTCAGCGTGTCCAGCAGCAGGTTCGAGAGTAGGAAGTGGCCCAGATAGTTGACCCCAAAGTGCATCTCGTGGCCTTCCTTGGTCAATAAATATGGAGCGTAAAACACGCCAGCGTTGTTGACCTGGAACAACACAAATTCCATCGTCAATTCTTTGCTCAAAGTGACTTAAAAAGTGCTAAAGAATGTTCTTCTACTGTCTAGATTTGATTCCCACAAAAACCTTATAAAAATACACAATGCAAGTCAATAAAACCTTCTGAAACACTTTGAGAAAACTACAAAAGAATTATCAATTAATCACAATGGCAATTATGTAGCCAAAATAAATGATATTATGACAAATATATTGTTATTCTTGAATTTATCGTCTTGAAAACGGAGGAAATTAACTATTAATCAATTTTAAGGACTTACCAGGACGTCGAGGCGCGTCTCTTCGTCCAGGAATGTGTTGACGAAGCTCCGGATCGAGTCGAAAGAGGCCAAATCGAGGGTTCTGTTGTAAATGTTGGAATTGTCAGACTTCCGGACAATTTCCAAGCGAGCAATTTCGCACTTTTCATAATTCCTGCACGCCATGTAGATCTGGCAAAACAAGCACAGCAAGAGGAAGTTTCAGTCACACTTTCGAATAAAAAGGGTGTATTTTAGGCGAGGAACACGCCTAAGTAATTCCGTGCATTTATAAAAGTTCTCTGAGCGCAAATTATCTTGTCTTGGCAAAGAATCTCTGCAAAAGTGCTAATGAAATGCTAAATAAAACTGTGATGATGGGAAGTGGATAAGAAGCTCATTATCTGACTTTTCACTCTAATAACTTCTCACCCTTGCGCCTCGCTTGGCCAGATCCAGAGCAGTCTCGAAGCCAATTCCAGAGCTGGCGCCCGTGATGATCACTACTTTTCCGTCCATCCGAACGTGCTTCTTCCGGTACTGTCCACCCTGAGCATATTGCCTGCCAGAGACACCCCCGAAACGCCCAGTTAAGCATCACACAGATTGATTACAGACGAGATCTGCTCACCTGATGTTGTAGAGAATCACAAAGATCAGGAGAAAAGTGGCCAAACAAGCGCCAAAAATGATCCACACTTCAACATTCACGTAACTCAGCAAATCAAAGCCCATTTCGACTGTTTTTCCTCGGTAAGAAGCGACAACTGACTGAAATTCTTGCTCAACACCGCTGGATTTATAGATTTTCCCTCGACTTTGCAGCACTTCCTGTCCATTCTACAGCCCCACCATTTTGCAGAGAAACCTCGACTTTGTGCGTTGGCTGTGCAATAAATGCCCATAAACGCACTCAATCGCTTCTACGAGGCAATTTGGCGAGTGATTTTTATTTAGAATATAAGCATAAGAACTGATATTCGATCTTATCGCTGAAGCATCAACCAGAAATTGGCAGACAAGATCACTATCTCGAGATTGTTGTGTGTAATTATTGTCATGCTCACTAAATATGACTGAATGAGAAAGTGTTAAAGAACAAGAAGAAAAGTAAGAATATATAGAATTGCAAGATATTTTTGAAGGAAATACAGCAATTGACGTTATCAAACCTGGCAAAATACTTATCGGTCTGCTGAGCAACAGAACTTTTGTCCCATTATCGTAAAACCATTTTTCAAATTCCTTCCGGACTCTTCAGAAGATGTCCAATTGTGCCCCACTTTTCCTCGCTGAACACGAATGCAATTAAGGTAATAAACACAACTTGAGCTTAAAATGTAATTAAGCTTAGTTAAGAGGTGACTTTAAGGGCTAATGAAGTGTTTTAATGATCCAAATAGTGAAGAATTAGTATGAAATCATGTTGAACTTACCATAAAGTGATCAATTAAAGTCAAACTTTTGCTGCCAAATTTCTTGAAGAAGAAAAAAACCCTTTTTTGATAATTTTGATGACAACTATTTCTTTTATTTGTTTCTCCTTATCAAAATATTAATTTACTAACATGTTTTTTGCCTTAAGGATTAAGTAGACTTTTACATTTAATATATAATTATTTACACAAGAGATTTTGTGTTTATGATTTCACACTTCTTTGCTTACTTCAAGTTATTGTTTCATCTCTCTTTTCTCATATGTATTTATTTCTTAAACAAGTCACAATATATTAATTCATCTGGCTTTTTGTTTTTCTTTTTCTTCTTCTCTACTCACTAAAACTTCTCCATTGAGACTGATAAACTCTCTTCTTCTTTACATCCAAATCAACAATTTGCTCTCTTTCTCTGTTTGTACACAAAAATATTCTCTCTTTCTCCACATTTCTCACTCATTTTTTTTTTATATATATCAAATAAGTTAAAAAGAAATACTCAGATAAATAATGCAAATAGTTTAATTTTACACATAAAGGGAAAACTCTTTAATGGATTCGCGTTAAACAAAGGGACTTCTTCTGCGTATTGACAATACAAAGATAATTTGGTAATAATTTAATATACACAATGTGATAAAAAACAACACAATTTCAGGAGTATCCAAACCCTCTTCCGTCTCCCTCTCACTCTCTCTCTAGATCCTAAACAACACAAAAAAAACATTAATCGCTCGCGGTGACAAACGAAAGGCGAAAAATGTGTTACAAGAATTGAGCATAATAAGTAGCAATAATAATAAGGATTCATAATGACTTCATTCGCCCTCTTTTGATTCTCTGCCCTCTCTCTCTGTCTCTGGAATGTCTCTAGTCGTAGAAGTCCTCCTCTTCTTCTTCCGCCACGTCCTGCGGCTCCGTCTTGGTCACCCAGCCGGCGCAGCTGGGTGACGATCTCGTACTCTACCGGCGCATGGAGCCGTTCAGCGAGATGTAGTACGGCGAGTAGACGGAGTTCTGCTGCGCGGCGCGCTGAATGGACGCCGGATCCTGATACTGGCTCTGCATGTTCATCACATTCATCTGCACCGGCAGCTGCGGATTGAAGCCCGCCGCCGCTGAGTTCGTGATGTACGTCGCCACGGAGCCCGCCGACTGCTGCGCCGCCATCCGGTAGCCATTGAGAGTGCCGTAGGGTGACATGAGATTGGGACTAATGGTCACATTGGGACTCACCCGACTCGGCGCCGCCGCCATATGCTGCACGGGCGCCGACGCCGTGTTGCGCGACGTCCTGCCACTCGCCCCAGCCGCCGCGGCGCCTCCATTGCCCGGCTGCACATTCCCCGGATAGTACTTGTGATGGTAGCCCAGCGACGCCGCCATCTGCGTCTGCAGCGACGCCGGCGGCGTGGAGATGTTGCGCGCGGGATTCTGCTGCACAAGATGCGTGGGTGGCGGCGTCATCGTGGCGTGCGGATGATGATTGGGCGGCGGAGTGAGATTCACCGTGCCCGCCGGCGGCGTGTTGCAGCCTCCCGGCTGAATCATGTCCAGCCCATTCGTCAGCTGCTGCAACTTCGACAGACTGCACATGTTTCCCGCCCCCTGGCCACCCACAGCTGGCGCTCCGCCGCTCATTTGTGGCGTCGGCGTGGCCGCAGGCGTCGGTGTCGCGATCTGAGGCACTGGCGTGTGGCTCTGATGGTGTGTCGCATTGCCCGGTGACTGAATGTAGAAGTTATTGCCAGAACAGGCGGACGGCGACGGTCCCAAGCGCTGCTGCGGACTCGACAGCGGATTGTGCGCCGTCAGATTCCCATGGCTTCCCGACATCCTGTGCTGAATCACCGTCGTCATCGAGCCATAAGAGTTCGGCGACTGCGCCGGGAAGTTCTGTGTCATCTGCGGCGCCCCAATGTAATTCCCTTGCGGCGCCATCGCCTGATGATGGCCGTGCAACATGTGTCCATATTGCTGCATGTGCTGCAGATTCTGCTGCTGTTGCTGCTGCGCCGCCTGCTGATTTAGGTGCTGATGCTGAAGCTGCTGATGCTGCGTCGCCTGATTCGGACTCGCCATCTGCTGCTGACTATTCACCGGCGGCGTGGCGCTATGCTGTTGTCTCTGATTCGCCGCACCAGGCGTCGAAGTGTTCCTGTGATGCTGCACTTTGGGCGTCGACGCCCTATTCGTCGTCCTCTGACTCTGTCCCTGCTGATGATGTTGTGACATCTTTCGCGACTGACTCTGCGACATTCCCTGACTCGGCACCATATTTCCCCCCATCGCCATCGCCATCTGATGCTGTGGACTCGACGTGGGCACCATGCTGATGTGCTGCTGCTGCTGTTGCTGCTGCATTTGGGTGGATTGGTGCTGTTGTTGCTGGTGTTGATGCACCGAACAGTCGGAATACTGCTGAGCAACCTGCTGATTGTGCTGCTGCGGCACAACACTCGGCGGCCTCACATTCTCCACAGAATTCTGCGACGCAATATCACTGCTCGTGCTCGTCGGCGACTCCAGACCCAACTGACTCACGTCAATATCGCACTGTCCGTAGTGCAGGCTGTGCACGGAGTTGGTCGTGGAGTCTGGCGTGTAGACGCCCATCGAGGGAATGTCCGGCGCCGGCGGCGTGTGTTGCTTAATGTCAGACGCCACTGTGGTGGCGTCCGTGTGCTCCTGCGCCTGATGTTGCTGATGGTGCATCGAATTGATGCCCATTGTCTCCTGATTCACCATAATCGCCGACTGATTCATGTGCAAATTCTTCTCCTCACTTTTCCCGTGACTCTTGGACTTCCCCTGCGCTGCAGTGTTGGAATATTGCTGTGTCTTGCTGCCCATGCCACTCATCGCTGTCGCTTGATACACTTTCTCCTCAGACTTCGAGCTACTCTTCGAGGACTTCTGCTTATCGCTGCGCTGAGACTTCTCCTTCACCACTGGCGGCGCAATGTGTTGCGTCTGTGGCGGCTGAGGCTGCATCGTGAGGCTGTTCTGGTAGAGATTCTGCGGCAATCCATGACTGTAAGCCATGGATGAGGCCAAATCTTTGTGGAACTTGTTGGGTGACTTCTGTGTCGTTGGATCCAAGTGCGGCAGAGGATTGTAGCCTTGATAGTAAGCCTCCCACTGCCAATACTGCGGATGAGTCGTGTGATAATTCGGCAGAGAGTTCATCGTCGCGAACTGCATCTTGTTCAACTCAATCGCCTTCTGATCCAGCAAACTCTGCTGCGACGTGTGTTGCTGTTGATACTGCTGCTGCTGCTGTTGCTGCTGTGTTTGCTGCTGTTGCGTCTGCTGCTTGGCCACTTGTCGAGCACTCGTAGAAGAGCTCGAAGATGACGACGATGATGAACTGTTGGATGAACTTCCACCTCCACTACTCTTGGCACTGCTATTTTCCTGCTGCTGTTGCGCCTTCGTGGTGCTACTGTTGCTGGCAAGAGAGTGACCATCTGCGTTTTTTGAAACACTCGCCGTTGACGTTGTTGCAGAATTTGCAGAACCAACAGCAGAAGATGACTTGTGCTCCTTCTTATTAGGCGAATCATCCTTTCGCGGTGCATTTGCTCCCAATTCCATCGTTGGATTGCATCTCGATTCACTCTTCACAGCATCCACATTATTACTGCGACTGTGCGCCTTGTGATCAGCCTTAAAGTCTGTTCCTGTTGACTGAGACTTTTTTGTCTGCTGACCACTAATCTCCGGAACTTTGCTCACACTGGGCGTCGATCGAGAATCCTTCGAACTCCTCCGGACTTCAGGCAATCGCTCAGGAACTTTCGTCGCTGGCTTTTCCACCTCCTTCTCCTGACCAGCAACTCCCGAAGGCACACTTGGCGCCTTAATCTCCTCCACAACAGACTGAGATGGTTTTGCCGCCTCATTCGATGCCTTAACTTGACTCTCGACTGAGTTTTTTGACACAATCTCTTCCTTCTTCTCAGCATTCTCAGCAGCAACAGGCGGAGGTTTAGCAGGAGTCTCCGCTTGTTCTTTGCTTATCTTAATCACAGACATTTCCTTGCTCTCTTTTGGCGTCGGCACTTCCGTCTCCGCTTGTTTTATGACATTCTTCACAAGATCTTCAGGCGGATTCTTCAGTATCTTTATCTTCTGACCATCAATTTCAGTCTCTGACTCCGAATCTGACAGCACAATCTTATTTGGATCGCTAGAATCTTTTGTCTTGGAGTGACTCTTGTGTCTCTTCGGAGGTTCCTCACCATCCTTGGCTTTGGGCTTCTCAGGAGACGTTTCCTTCTTCTCTGGCTTCTTCACAGCCTCCTTTGGCGGCTCCTCCACCTCAATATCCATGGGAATTGGATCGACAATCACATTCGGACGCATTTCAGTGTGAACAGGAGCTTTTGATGTGTAATTCTCATTGACTTTCAGCACACTTGTGGCATTTTCCGGACTCACTGACATTTCTGTGGGCTTCTTTGCCTCCTCCGCCAAACTCTTGATGTCAATAATCACAGGCACTTTCTCCTGAATATCCTTCTTCGGCACAGAAAGTAACTCCTTCTTCTCCTCTCTCTTCCCTTCCAGCGCCTTCGACAGCGGTTTAGGCGTCGAAATTGAGGTCACACTTGTATTCGTCACTGTATTATTTGTCTTCGCCACAATAACTGACTTTTCCACTTCCACTGACTTCACAGGCGAAGATTTTTCCTTGCTCTTCTGCGGAGCATCATTGCTTCTCTGCAATATTATGTCTGATCCACTGTTTGACGAGGATGACGATGAACACGAAGAGTAAGATGATGAACTACAAGAACTTGATGAACTTGAGGATGACGATTGTGACTTCTCTTGCTTCAAAACATCCCTCATCACTTGTTTCTTCGTCTTCTTCGCCACAGCGTCCGCGTGAAGATCCACCGAAGTGTCCTTCTTCACACTCACTTCAGCCTTAGCAGCAGCAGCAGAAGCAGTAGCAATTGGAGGCTTTTCCGATGGCTTCTCATCAACTTTCACCTTCTCAGGCGTCTTGGTCTCAGTCTTTGCCTTCTCAGGACTCGATTCCTTGCTCTGTGACTTCTTGGGAATCTCTATTGATGCAGTTGAATTGACAGAAACACTAGGATGATCGTGTTCTTTCGCCTGTTGCTGACTCACTGAAGTCTTCTTCGCCTCACGATCTTCCATTTCATCGTCAGCCTCAGCTGAAGATTCCTGGGATGCTGAATCCGTTGCCTCCTTAAGTTTCTTCTTGCTCCTCAACTTAGGCGTTGTGATGGGCTTCTTCTTCTCCTTTGGTATCATCTCTTCACTCTTTGCCGCTGCCGTTTCAATCGCCTTCACTTCCACATGTTTCTCCTTGATCTTCTCCTCATCTCTCCTCTGTTCAGGCTTTCGCGTCACTTCTGTCGTCTCCTTCTTCGCTTCCTTGCTCCTAATCATCTCCGGTAGAGTCACTTGTCTCTTCAGTGGCTGCTCATCTTCACTTGTCGTCACTTGATCCTTGCCAGAAACCTTGGCCGGCTTCGCCGATGAACTGTCTCGCTTCCTCTTCACCGTCACTGGACTCTTCACCTCACTCTTCTTCTCTTCCGGCACTTTCTTCACCTTCTCCGGCTTCTTCTTCACCGGCGGCTCTTCAGGTACTTCATCCTCCACATCCTTCTTCCTCTCACGACTCTGCGCCTCCTTCGCCTCCTGACGCAGCGAATGTCGAACACCTCGATTTGTCGGCGCGGGAGTTTTATTCATCGTCCGACGCGATCTGGCAGTGAGTGGACAATTCTCACTCACTTCTGACTGAGTGTCGGATTCTTGACTGGACACCAGCAAGGCTTTCTTCGCATCGCCTCTCGAGCGACTGGAACGCGTTGGCGTTTCCGTTCTCTCGACTTTTTCCACCCTCTCGTGATGCTTCTCGAGCTTCTCTGACTTTTCGGGCTTCTCCTTCACAGGTTTTTCCACCTTTTCAGCCTTCGTTGACTTTTCCACCTTCGAGAGTTTCTCCACTTTTTCCTTTTCCTCCTTCTTCGACGCTCGTGCTTTCTTCTTCTCCGGCGATGGTTCTCGTGAGCTTTCCTTGTTCTTTCCCACTGGAGAACTTCCAGACACTCTCCTCTTCTTCCTCACAGATCCCGCCGGGGTGGCTTTGGATTTGTTCGGTTTAGGCGTCTCCTCAGCCACTTCATCGCCTCCGGACGCATTGTCTGTGGACTTGAAGCGAATGTCGCGGAAAGTGGTTTCATTGAATTTACTCGGACGCGTTCTCTTCCTCCCGGAGGACGTTGTGTCGAGATACTCAGGCGTCTGCACAGGCGTAGGATTCTTCTCTTTCGGCTGAGCCTTTGGCTGAGGCGGTGGCGCAGCCGGCGTCACTGGAATTGGTGCTTTCTTTGGCGTCTTCGGCAATCTCTGCCCCGTCGTCGTGTATCGCCTCTTCTTCAGCTTCACACCACTATTGTCAATGATGTTACTTTGTAGCGCAGCTACCACAGAGATTGGATGGGTTTTTGGCTCCTCCTCGGCCGAATCACACGACTTTTCCGCCTCCTTCTTGCGCTCCGGCGACGCAGCAGCACTGCTATCCTCAGAATCCGCACGAAACGGATTCACCGATGGCGTGAGAAGTGGCGTCCATCGCAAACACTCACTGTCAATGTAAATTCGTGTCTTATTCTTCGCCACCTTCTCCTGATGCTTCGCCACTTTGCTGTAGTCAATGCAAATGACAGTCTCTGACTTCTCAGCGCCATCGCGTGAGATATGCTTCACAAAATTGAGGAGATTCAGCGTTGTCGCGATGTCTGGAATGCACATTCCTGTCTCTCTTGCCAGTTTCTTGATGGAGAACCGCTCTTCCTGGTTGACTTGCAGATATTCCAACACCACGGACTTCCAGTACGCATGATAAGACACTCTGCCGAGATCTGATAAGGGCTTCTCCGGTGTGCCCGGCTGTCCCTCCTCACGACTCAACAAGTAACTGAAGTCAATGAGGAATCGCCCATATCCTTGCCTCTGATACTGTGGCATTGTCATAATGCACGACACATTGTACTTCTGCTGGCAATGTTTCTCCTTCGAGAAGTATCCAACCAAGTGACAGCCTTTGCGATCATTGCGCGTGAGCACATAGAAGAGAAACGGTTCCACATCATAGTAGAGCGTCTTGTGGTCCAGAAACAACTTCGCCAGCAGACAGAGATTCTGACAGTAGAGTTTGTTGACATTGCCATCCACTTCGAAGACACTCAACTCGCCACAACGATAGATTTCCGTGCCCGGAGGATGACGCCAACTGCACTTGTCCTGATGACGCTCCAGCACAGCTTTACTCTTCGTGTACTTCAGACAGAATTCGCACAGGAACAGCTTCGGAAGCCTGGAAAGGTGAAATGGAGGAAATTGTATGAATAAAAGTCGCTGTAATGAGCGTGTCTGAAGAGCTCTCTGGACAGTACCTGGCATATTCCTGAGGGAATGGACTCGAATACCACGTGTCGATCTCCCACTGGCCAAACTCTATCGCCGCCGGACATCGCTCCTGCGCCACAATGGCCATCGACGGCGGACTCAGGTACTTGGGCGTGAGAGAGCTTCCGGCCACAGCCAGATTCATCTTTCCGCCAGGATTCATCACCTCCGTGACCACTTCCACAGCCTTCTCGCGGATCTCCTTGTACAACTGCACATCCTTCTGCGTCACACCCGGCGGCAGCGGTTGTTGCTCTGCAAGAACCCAGTGAGAAAAAGACATTGAAATTGCACTGAAATTTATCTTTCTCTCTCCTTCAAGGCATCTTCAAAGCAAAAAAGACTCTAAATACACTTTATCTCCATACAAAAGTCCAAACAAGTAAAAAATAAAAAAACAATGTAGCAAAAGAGAAAAAATAAATATAAGAAAGAAAAATGAAAAACCAGTGTTTAACACAGTAGAGCAACAACTTGTAAAAGAGTAGAGAAAAGTAAATATAAATTATTACAAAATTTGTAAGAAGCCAGAAAACTTAGTGGTGTGTGGGTAAAAGTATTGGTTACACAACAAGAAGAGAATATATATGTATATATACTTATAAAATGAAGCCGAAAAGCAATTTAAAGGGTGGGAAACTAATAAACAGCTTTTTTGTCATCTAATTCATCATCATTCGACTATTGCCGCATAAAATCGTTACCCATTTCTAAGCTTTCGCACTTCACCAGCAACAATTAGTCAGACCGATTTGTTTTTGCAATGTTTGTCTATATTATTTTTTTTCGAAAAGAAATTGCCAAAACACTATTTTTCACCAGAAGCTTATTTTTTTTGGAAAAGAAAATTCAATCTTCTTTCGAGAGAAAAAAAAGATACTCGGAAAAAATGACAGTTTTGTGTTTTTAGAAGAGTAGAAAATTCTCTACAGAAAAAAAGCCTCTAAAGGCACTTTTTTTATAGTAAAGGATTAGAAAGAGAAGAATGAAAAATAATCTCCAACTCCAGCCGCCATATAAGAATAATATAAATAGAAACACTGAAAGAGACTTTTTCTTCATCTCTTCCAATTCTCTGTCTTGTGTCTACAAAAAGATTTGATTATTTTGGATTAATAAAATTCCCCCTCTCTCTATTGATCCTCTCTTATGAGTCAATTTGTTTGTTAGATTTACCACACACCACTTAACTAATATACAGTTAAAATTATAAAGTGATTAATAGGAAAATATCAACTGAAAGAAAAATATTATTAGAATATAATGAACTGCAAAACATGCGCTCTTTTTCTCGCTCTCGCAAATTTCCAAATTGCAATTTTATATGTCACAAAAATATGTGGGTTAAACACATTGCAGCACAATCTTGTTATTGTTATGAACATGAATATTTTGCAAAATAACTCTCATAATTTTGCTGTGATTCTCTTCTATAGTTTTGAAAACACAAAATTTCCACCCCACCAAAAATAAAACCAACTAATAAAAATTGTATGAATTAATTTTCAAGTACAATCAATAAGAATCACAATTTAGTTACAATCTTTTCTCTATCTTCTCTTGGACTCGCTCTCTAAACCTCTCTCTTTCGCTCTTTCTCTCTCTTAAAATATTGATTGCACAAGTGAGATAACATAATCGAAACTAAGAAAACTGAGGAAAGTATATACAATCTTTAGAGTTTGTACATGTATAAATTTTTCAATTGTACATAATTAACCCAATTTCCCCCTTTCAAACATTGCTGCATCGGAAGCGCACACACTGTTCTCTCTCTCTCTCTCTCTCTCTCCTCTTTCTCACTCTCGAAGAGAGTGTGTTTTCAAATTTCAATCGATACGCACTCAAACTCAAATGATGACACAGAAAGAGTCACGCTCTTCGTCTCTGTCACTCTTTTGTTGTACATCAAATTGAACGGTATATATAGTCAAAAAATACATAGGAAGTGAGCATTTTTTCAGTGATGGTTTGTTTCTTTTTTCGTTTTTTTTTTCAAAGCTAATTGAGCAATACTGAACATGGTTGACACGCAGAAAATCAGCATACATCATTTCACATTTCATTTCATCATAATTTACTGCTCTTTGCATTCATTTTTTTTTGTCTTGCATTTCACGAGGGGAAGATTTTCAACATTTTTGTGTGTTTTGGTTTTTTTTTTGAAGACTCTTACCCATTGAATTCTGATTTGCGCTGTATGGCGTTTGCTGGATCACAACTTGGGATTCGCCAGGCGCGGCGGCACGCGGTGTGGAATTATTGGCCTGGGATGATGATGAGTTGTTGTCATCGGCGCCCCGATTGCCACCACCACTTGTTCCTGGTAAGCTGAACAATTTGCTATCATTGAAGAGCGACATGAAGCGCCTCTCGTGCTCCAATTTCTTCGAATTCACCGCCGACTTCACGAGACCACTTGGCGTCATTTGCATCTGCTCATCATCATCATTCACCACATCCTCGTGCTCCCGATTCACGGACTGTCTCTTCTGCTTCCTGCCACTCTGCCGCGCCGCCTCGCTGCCACCCTTCTTCTGCTGATGCTGCTGTTGCTGCTGTTGTTGCTTCTCCGCCGCCAGACTCTTGGCGAAATCCCTGTAAGTGCTCCTCGTCTCCTTCAGCACAACTCTCTGTGGCTCCTTCTCCTGCTTCACCGATCGTGTCTTCTGCTTCGGCGGCTTTATGACATTGTCCTCCTCCTCCTGACTGAATGTGCCAAAGATTCTCTGATGATTTCCACCACTTGTTGCTGCACTCTCTTTCGAGAAAATGTCCAAATTCTTCTTCGCCTCAGCCGCAAAGCCCCAAACGCCACCTTCCTTCCCCGAATCCACAGAAAAACTGTTAAACAGCCCCGATGATTCCACATTCATTCGGGATTTGGGCCTCGAATTGAACATCTGCGATGTTTCTGGCCACTTTTGTTGCTTTGGCTCTCGCTTCACCGGCTGCGATTTGCTCGAATTCTTCACCTTCACACTCTCATACACCTCATCATCATCCTCATCCTCGTCATCCGACGATGAAGTATTTGACGATGTTGATCCCGATCCCGAATCACTACTGCTATAAGATCCAGACGACGATGAATCCTCATCATCATCGTCGTCATCACTGCTGGAGCAGGAAGTCGTTGTGTCAGACAACTGTTCCTGCCGCTTCCTGTGCTGCTGCTGCTGCTGCACATTCTTCGTCCGGAAGTTCTCCCGCCCACCCGCAACACTCATGTCACTCTCACAATCCCTCATGCTACTATTGTGAAAGATTGGCGACGTTTTAGCACTACCGCGATCACTATTCATGGCGTGCAGACGAAAAAATTTCTGCTTCTCTTTCGAAATACGGTCTGATTTCCCTAATTGTTGCTGCTGACATGTTGTTGAACTCAGTGGAGAACGATTACTATCGACAACAGATAAGCTAGATATTGATGATCTCTTGTTTGTCCCCACACGCCCACCAACTGTACTCGAGGAGTGCTGCTCCTGATGCACACCCTTCCTAATCATCTTGTTCACTTTACCCGCCACCATCTCTGACTCCTCATCGTCCGAATCTTCTGTCGTCGACGCCAATATCGGTGGAACACGCGGACGTTTTGTCGATGCACTCGCCGTTGTCACACTCGCAGACGTTGATGGCTTTTCCGGGGACACTCTTCTCAAATTGATTCATTGCGCATCGGTTCAACAACAACAACAAAAAAAACACCCCCACAATTGACATCCCCGCGCGCCCATCGATTCACAAAGAGACACACGAGCGCCCGGACAAGAGAAGGGGAAAGAAAGAGAGAAAAAAAATGTACATTAGCATCAAAAGTCAGAAATGAAATAATTAATTGACAACCGTTTTACCTTCTCTTCTTGCTCTCAACCTTCTTCGCCGCCGACGTCTTCCTCTCAGGACTCCTCTTCTCCATCTTCACCGCCGACGGCTTCTTCTCATGGTGATCCATGCAATGGCGACACCTGCAAGCGCCCCAAAGAAAGCCCATCAAAACCACTGTGTCAAGAGAAATCCCGCGTCAAGTCCAATCAACTCACCTCCATGGACATTTGATTTTCTTCACAGGCACTGGATCCAAACAGCTAAAGTGATAATTCTTATGGCACGCAAAGCAGCCAAGCAGGCACGGACCATTCTCAGCGGTGCTAGAGTTGCAGCCCTCACACGAGCGACACTCCTCACAGTACCACGCACTCCCCTTCGCCACCAGCGCGGACAGCTCCACATGGGGCGCTCCCTTGCGACTCGTCATGTTGGCACACGTTGTGTGCATCGCCATGCCGCAGGCACCGCACGAGCTCAGGATCTCAGGCACTCCTCGCGGACCCTTCAGCTCCGTGCCCAGACACTCAGCGCACACCGCGCCCAGGCCAGTCTGTGGAGCAGAAGAATTCATCATTGCAATTGCAATTTGGCTTGTTTCTGCCTAATTTGCCTGCTTTTCAAGTCATTTTGTCGTAGAATTGAGTTAAGACTGCACTTTTGCCTATTTACTTGTTTCTTCTCTGGATGAACCAATCATTAATTATTAAGATCAATGACAAATAACGCATCAAAAACCCGCGACAAAAATTGAACATTATAGTTTTTCAATCACAATTAGCCACAATTAACAAAAAGTTCGTTAAAAATCTCATTCAGAACAATAATTAGAAAGTTGATTCTAAGAATAAGAATCGTTGCTTTCCAAAGAGTGTCAATATCCTAAAATATCTCTTTTAACAAAGCGTGAATTCAAGTAAGAGAAAGGCAGAATTGAGAGATCTTCTCACCTTATTGGACGCCGAAGTCGGTGTCTGAGCCTCCTGAGCCTTGGCAGGTGCGCCCTTCTTCCGCGGCGTTCCCGGCGTCGTTGACTTCTGCGGCGTTGCCTTCAACTTGCCCACTTTGTACAGCTTGCCCTCATTGATGAGCAGTCCATTGGTCACGGCGGTCTTCACGGAGTTCCTGATGACATCTTTGATGTCCGTGTCGGGCGCCAGCTGAATATTTGTGGACTTCTGCACATAATTCTCGATGGACTTTATGGTTGAGCCTTCGCACTCGCCCAACTCCTTCACCGCCTTCGCCACCAGGCGCGACAGATCCGTGCTGTTGTTCACCGAGACGCAGCGCCTGGCCATGGGCGCCTTGTAGGAGTGCAGCCCCTTGTTGTACACCTTAATCACCGCGCCCGCCTCCACGGCCTCCTCCAGCTTCACCGCCACAATGTCCTCGTGGAACTTGTGATGCGCCCCAATCGCCTGACATATCCGCTGAATGCTGGGGCGCTGCTTCTGGAAGCGTATCTTGCGGATCGCCTCCAAGATCCAATCGCTCCACACTTGAGCACTCACTTCGCTCGACGATTCTCGCATTTCGCGATTTGTCGTCTCTCTTCACTCAACACTGAGGGGCGCAAATAGAGAAAGACAATGGATAAGAATTGAAATTGCCTAATGATTTTTCATTGCAACTCTCATGCTCTCTTCACCAATTTCTCTCTCTCATCAAGTGTTGGGAGAGAGGAAGAGAGAGAGAGAAGCTCCCCTCGTGCAAAAGTGGCATTTTTCCTCCTTTTTCACTCTTTCTCTCTCTCTTCCCGTCATTCGCAACAGAAAAACACACGCTCATGACTTCTTTTACTCCTCTTTCCATCACTCACGGCAAACACAACAACAAACACGCTCACAATTTTTCTCCCTCAGTCACACTTTTGCCTTTTTTTTCCCTTCCTTCCTTCACACACTCTCTTCATCGTCTTTTCCCCCCTGTTTTCTGAGTCGACTCATTTGAAAGTCACGCCGGTTCTTTCCACTCTTCTCTCTCTCTCTGTCTCTTAATTCACCCAAATGCAACCTCCTTATGAATATTTCGCTACAAATTACGCTGGGGGAAAGTCAAAGAATATGCAGACAAGCGGACACAGACCGAGACAAAGGTGAGAACTCTCCTGAGTGCAAGCAAAAACAGAAGAAGTGTTTATGTGATCAATTCCTCTTTTATACCAATTAATCGGCAGCACAATTTGCGCTGTATGGACAAAATCGAAAGGCATCCATAACAGGAAACTTGGAGTGTCTTTTTGCATCTCAGCAAGACACTTCTCTTCTCTTCTGCTCTTGTGTGATATGACTATTTGGCCTTTAAGCATTCCGCCTTTTGCCCTTTAAAACCGCACAATCAAGGTCACGATGCAATTGTTTGCACTGCACAACTTCAGCCTCAGACATTTGAATTTCTAATGCCGCTGCAGGGCAGCAAGAATCCGACTTATCTCAGTGGTTTAGCCATGAGATAACAGGCCATTGACCCAGAATCATCTGGCAGACTCAGAGTCACCGCGAAGAGAAGGCGTTAAAGGGTGTACTTTGCATGTTTCACTCAGTGAATTTGCATTCATAAACAATCACACGACACACGATGACTCATTGGGTGTGATTCCCGGCGCGAGAGTCCCGGAAAGAAAATGCGGTCAACCGAAAGAACCGGACACACTGGAAAGTCTCTTCTCATCGCGCGCGCCAATCAATTGCAACTCGCGCGCGGGCCACAATTTCTTCGGGCTAATCGCGGCCAGAATCGATGGTGGCTGGGAAAGAGACTCGCGCGGCGACATGTATTTTAATTATATAATTGCAAATGTATTCAACCATCACACATCATTGCGAACACACTGCGAATAATGTTGCGAATATCATTTTTCGCGTCAAACGAGAAGAGCGAGAAAGAGCGCCGTTTGCCCGTCGACCGCCTGCCTGGACAGCGCGCGCGAATGGGGTCATGTCCGGAGGGTGGCGGATCGATTTATCGACCAGGTGTGGTATTGTGCCCGCCGGAGAGCCGCTGGACTTCCTGGCCGCCCAAACGGATTGTCCGCCGGAGCGCCACTCGCGCGCGCCCCACAACATCGCCCGCCACACATTTCACACACCACAAGTGCGCGCCTGTCGCGCGCTCTTGAATTTTCAGCCATTGGCGCTGCCGCCTTCCTTTTTTCCACCATCGCCACACAGCACACAACGGCAAAAGAGCAGAAAATAACGTGAATGATGAGAAGCCGACGGCAGCCATCTTTTTTTCCACCACTCGCACCACCATCGCATTTCATCACCATTTTCACACCTTTCACACGCATTTTCCACCTAAACTCCACCACCCAGCCACGCCACGACGCTCACCTCGACGTTTTCACACCACTTCCGGGTGCACAGACACTTTTCACAGGGTCAAAAACGTCCTCAAAAGATGATTTGCACATCAAAATGGTGTTTTCTCACTGCGACTTCATCACCGACGGCACACATTCATTCTTACTGTCCAGTGGTGTGCTCTACAGTGTATTATTTTCAACACCAGCACCTGCTGTCTCTCTCGCACCACCGTGATCAGAGGCACGGGTGTGTGTCTCACTCTCGCCCACCATCTGTCTCTCTCCCTCTCACTCTCACCTTAGCGGAATTATTTCTCTTTTTGTGTGCCTTTTTCGCTCCCTAATTGAGCATTTTTCACCTGGAATTCTCTCACACTGTCATCCTGACAACCTGAAGTGACCAATGAACACTCAAAATCACACCCCAAACACTGCCACAGTCCCCGATTACCCCCCAAACTTTCATCAAATCCCCCAAATTCCACTTTGCGGCCCTTTTCCGCAAATAAACACCGCAATTATCAACGTTTTCTCACCACCTTTTCGCAATATGGTGAGAGTGTGAGTGACTCTCCAATGCGCGCGCATTCGTTCTATCTCTCTCACTGGCATGCCAGTAGCACGACACTACGAAAACATCCCCAAAACATTTCCCCCAATTTACCTCTTTTCCCACTAATCTTCAGCCAATTCTCCACACTTCACATCACCACTGACTCTCCTGCATCAACGTGAGACACTTTTCACACCACTTAGCGTCTCAAAATTCTGGTTTTTCGCGTAAATTTCACAACACACTGTAAACAAATTGCGAATCGTCTTCCTTCCGTTCCGAAAGTTGCGTGTGTGACACTTTGGAGATACGCAGCCGGAAAGGTGACAGTGTAGTTTGTTTATCCTCGCGAGTTGGTGCATTTCTGCTGGCTTTTTGCGTCTCCAGACTGAAAAAATGGACATTCTGATCGCAAATGTGGAGCACGTTGACTTTAAGATCGAGAGGGATCTCAATGAGCAGTATGGGGCGCTTCCGCTGCCCTTTCCCGGCATGGACAGTGAGTTGAAACTCCGCCTAACCTCAATCGGGATGCTAATGATGGGCTTTTGGGGGCTCTTTTGCAGAATCCACAGCAGCGGTGTGCCAATTCTTCAACGGTCGCGACGGCCTGGAGTGCGACAAGGGGGCGGCGTGCCCCTTCCGCCACATCCGCGGCGACAGGACAATCGTGTGCAAACACTGGCTGCGCGGACTGTGCAAGAAGGGCGATCAGTGTGAGTTCCTGCACGAGTACGACATGACCAAGATGCCCGAGTGCTACTTCTACTCCCGCTTCAATGCCTGCCACAACAAGGAGTGCCCCTTCCTGCACATCGACCCCGAGAGCAAGATCAAAGACTGCCCGTGGTACGACAGAGGCTTCTGCCGTCACGGGCCGCACTGCCGCCACCGCCACGTGCGCCGCATTCTGTGCACCAACTACCTGGCCGGCTTCTGCCCGGACGGCAAGCAGTGCAAGTTCATGCACCCGCGCTTCGAGCTGCCGCCGCCGCCCGAGATCCCGCGCGATCAGCTGCAGAAGCGCGCCCCCACGTGCCATTATTGTGGCGAGCTGGGCCACAAGGCGTCCTACTGTCAGAAGATGCCGCAGGAGCAGCGCGAGGCGGTGCAGCGCCAGGACGAGATGCGTTACCGCTCCAACTACATGAGCCGCTCCTTCGAGGACGGCGCCACGCCCGGGCCGCCGCCGCGCGGCCCGCCCAAGCCGCTGGAGGAGATCACGTGCTTCAAGTGCGGCAACAAGGGCCACTACGCCAACAAGTGCCCCAAGGGCCACCTCGCCTTCCTCTCGCATCCGCACCAGCACTTCAAGAAGGTGTAAAACATGAGCCTATATTTCGCATAATACTTCACAAGGATCAGCTGCGTCCGGCGCGCTCCATGCCGTCGTTGCGCAGACAGTAGGCGGGGTAGTACTTGATCTCACCCGTCTTGGGGTCCACGTAGCGCAAGTTGGGATTGGGCGCCGTGTTGCCGCGCCCGCCCAGCGACGTGTAGCCGACGTCGTACAGCTTGCAGTACGGCACGTGGTTCGCCTGCACGTACTCCCACACGTCGCCGCACGTCCAGTCCAGCAGCGGACTCACGCGCACCAGCGGCGGCCAGCCGGCGTCCGTCTTCTGCGAAACAACGGCAATTTCATTACATCATTGCGTTGAAGCTTTAAGTTGGGGAATAAATGTATTTTTCAAAGTGAGAATATTGAGTTGCTTTCGCTCCTGAAGAACCCGCAAATTAATGTCTTTTCCCGTGAGAATTCTCTGCGAAAAACTAGTTTTGCTCAGTATTTATATTTGAGTTCTTATCTCGTGTACTCAAGCTTGCAATGAATTAATTGCAGTGATTTATCTCTAGAGTCACTATAATTAATTCTTATCTGATCTTTAAAGATCAATTTAAATCACGATTTTGTACATAGATTAACATGTTGATTGCTTCTCAAAAGAGTTTAATTCGCTGTCAAGTGATAATTAATGCATAAACAAAAAATACGCGCACGTTTTTGGGTCAATCAATATAGTTTTCTGATAATGCGAATCTTATCAATTTACGGTCGATTTCCCACGAAATTTCCAGAAATCTTCTTCGTGACTCAAGGTCACGGTTTCTTCCGCCAGCGCTAATGTAACAGGTTTCTGGACGGAGATTCTTGACCTTTTGCTCTTGAGATTCACTCCTCGACAAACAAAAAATCTAGTTCCTCAGCGCAAAGTTAATGATCTTCGACGATCTCGAGATGGTGTAAAATCAATAAATAACTTCTCTGCGGAGAAATTGGAGCGTGACTGGGAAAAGCTGCAATCTCTCCGCATCTCCGCATGTTATGCTGAAGTACCTGAAAGTAGTCCAAGTGGCTGCAGAAAGGGTCAGTTCTGCGACTGCCCATCAGACAGGCCTCCAGCTTCTCCTCGCCATCGCAGATCTTCGCCAGCGCCTCGCGGATCGTGCCATGGACACTCTTGATCCGGATGCCGTAGAACTGCTCGCAGAATATCACAAATTCCTCAATCTCAGCGAACGGATCGCTGGGCTGGAAGTACCAGCAGTGCAAATTGCTCAGCGAAATCCCTTCGTGTCGCATCAATTGTATCACCATGTGCAGCAGCACTGTGCAGTCCTTGCCGCCGTTGAAGGACAGGAACACACGCGAGGGCGGAAAGTCCCGGAACGCCTGACGGAGGATCTGTGGCGGAGCAAGAAAATGACGAATCATCGTGATATGCCCGAAAAAGGGGGCGCGAACACTCACCTCGTCCGTTTGCTGCACTTTCGCCTGCAAACCGCGACTGTAATCCATGCCATTGGGCGGCTGATTCACTTCCTCGGCACTCGCCATCGACACGACTGACTGTAATCCGCAGATTCTCTCTGTTTTCTATTTGTTTTCATCGCCACTCCACGATTTCCCTTACATAAGCAGAAAGTGCGGTTATGGCGATTCCCACCAGATGATGAGAGATACGCAGCCTAAATGTTGGTTCAACTGAAAATTTTCAACATGTTGTGCAAGATGAATTCGTTCTTCTCGTTCCCGTCCTGCTCGCCACGGACGATGAATTACTTCCGGACCTCGGACAAATACTTCTTCAGAATCTCATGAGCATCTTAAGCTTTATCTTGCAAGATGTTAACATTGCAGTGTTTAAAGGTACGGAACTTCTTCATATTCCATCATTTTCTTCTCGGGATTTCCACATTTCAGCTGTTTAGAGACGCTTAGTGAATAAATAAGAGTGATTTTTATTACAAAAAGCATGTAAAGTGTTTCTAAACAAAGTGATTGACTACACAATTGCGAATGCTGGATAATATGCGCGAATAACCACATAAAAGCTTAAAGCTAGTCTCTCTGGACGAATCTCCGGACATCTCTGTACATTGTCATTGTGGATCTCCTTCCGGGTATCTGAGGATTGTAGCCTCGCGGCCCCTCAATCGCCTGGACTCTATTCCTGTTGCCCACCTTCAGATTGATGCTGTCGCGCCAAACCATAGCTATCAGCATATAAAAACCGCCAACGATCTTAGAGAAGATGTCCAAAGTGCCCAGGATTAAGGGCGTGAGAACGTGAATGCACTTCCGTGTCTCCTCAACAAAGCGCAGACTGAAGTTCCCAAGCAGCTGAATGGCCTGGATGCTGGACGCGACCGCGAACACCACGCCCAAAACAATCATCTTGATGGCCGCAACGATTTGTCCGGCATTCACGCGCACAGAGAGCAAGAAAACGAGGAAATGTGTCAGCTGCTTCTTTGCCCAGGCAGCCGAATCCCTGCCTATGCGCTCAAACAGAGGCCAATCGATGTCCTCCCACTTGAACGGCACTTCCTGGTCATTTCCCCGCGGCGTGGGCTCTTCTGCCGATCGCAGAACTTTCAGCTTAAGAAGAATTTCATGTTCCCGGAAGCGCACTGTCTTGATCTGGAACCAGTACTTGCCGAATGGGTAGAAGGAGTCCAGCTCCGTCCACACCAGCACAGTCTGCAAGCCGCCCTTCGGCTGACTAGAAGTCCTGGTGAGTCCAATCCAGTGATTGTCATTCCTTTCGCCCAGCCATTCAATCAGCTTCCCATAAACGATGTCCAGATCATTGGCAATCGCCGATTCACTCTGCACGTCAACAACAATGACGTCCCGGTAGCTCTCCAGGGACGAGACGAGGCGCTTCTCCTTGAATTCGCCCAGGAAGACGCGGGATTTCAGCACCTTCTTGCAGAAATTCTCCACGGAATCTCCAGAAAGTGAATCCTCATGCTGAGTGGACTGGAAAGACATCTAATGACAATTTGGGAGAGTGACACAGCTGATAAAGATCGTCTACTCACTTGAGACATGGCCAAATCACTGGATTAATCCCACTGGGATTCGATAAGCATCTTCTGACGGAAGAAGATTCAGCACTTCTACGCCCTGAAGATAGTCACAGAACAGCTGGACTGAGATTTGAATTCCAGCGCCGTTGAAGTGCCTGGTCAGCCAGGCGGAAGCTTCTGTCTTTGGTGGTAAAGAACCGGCTTTGCTGGGTAACTGTTGCTCTCGCTGCCGATGAGATGGTATAAAAAGGCTCCCGACCAGAGGCTCGGCCTCTAATGCCTGGAAATAAGTCTGCCAGTGTTGTGTTGTGTCGTGTATTTCCTGTATTTCTGTGAATCCTGGAGAATCAAGTCATGGAGTATGACTTGTTTGTCGCGGAGCCCGCTTATGACGACCTGAATCTTGTGGTTTATGGACCAAGGCAGATGCAGAGAAAGTATTATCAATTCGGCAGGCGTTCCGAGGCGGAAAGACCCAAGAGTGCGCAGGATGACCGCGAGAAATCGCCGTTGTCCTCTTCCGGATACTACTCGGACAGCGATTCGACGCCCATGAATCTGGCTCGTCGTCGGCGCCGCATGAAGAGGCGCTCGTACTCACCAGGACCATTCTTCGGCGATCCGGACTTCGGTGGCTTAAGCCCCATCGGCAGTTTGAGCGTGCTGAAGAGTTACTCCTCGTCCAGGGCGTCCAGCATCCATATGGTGGAATGCGACGATGAGGACCCTCATGGGCTTCCCAATGACGTGTTCTATCCTGATCCGCCACAACTGGAGATCCTGAACGAACGCATCACGTGGAAGAATCTCCTCGGGTACTTCGCGTTGAGCAAATTGGTGGCAAAGTTCGAGTGTATGCGAGTGAGTTTCCTGCAATATCACGAGAATTCCGTGATGCTCATGGGTTTTTGCTCTGATTTTTCCCACAGAAGGGACTCAGCAAGTGGTTCTTCAACATGTCCCGGATGGACTTTCGTGTCCAGATGGGAATTCGGGTGCCAAGGGAGCATGCCTTGCTGGATCAAGTGCGAGAACTCTGAGCAGCTTCCAGAGCGCGCAAACTGTCCTGAAGGACTTTTTCTACCCAAAATTCATCAAACAGTGATTAGCGGTTGAGCGATTTTCCCGCCAAGAGATTCAACATTGCGGTGAAAATAGGTGGAAAACTTCCATTTGGGACTTAATAAAAAAAAACCCGAATAAAAATGCCGTTCCTTTTTCATTTGTGGGCATTGTTGTCACGGAGAGGCAAAGCTGTAATTTTTAATAAGCCACAGAATGCCTTTTGTTCTTCTCTTATTTATCACTTTGCCACATTTCTCCATGGGGGAGATAATATGGTGAAAAATTGTTCTTCGACAATTTCTACGGCAGAATCTTCAATTGCTTTAACACTTGGAGAATTTTTACAATTTTTAGACTTCTGCATTTATTTCTATAACTGAAGCGCAATTTTTCTTCACTTTTATCAAATTGTTATACCATGCAATATTTCCTCCTTGCAATTCCTGGCTTTTTCGCCCATTTAAAAGCGCGTCACCGTGTGCAAGAGTATAACTTTCACAATCGCACATCTCCCTGGGCGAATGATTATATTGGTCGAAATGCACCAGATGGGATTTCAGGGGAGCGACAAGTAATTACGCCGCGGACAGGAAGACAGAATGGCCACGAAGAGTGGGCGAAAGCGGAGGATTTGATGATTGAAGCGCGAGACGATCGCAATTACTGCCATAAGCACCTTTTCCATCATGCGACTCTTCAGTTCTCAGACTAATTTCTGCCCAAGGATCTCTCGCGCGTTCAGCGATCCATAATTTATTGCGCCATCGGAGGAGGAAAAAAATCCCCGGCTGCAGATAAAGCGCGATAAGGACCGCGCTCGCGGAAAAGGCGTGAGCGAGAAAAATGTCCCTCATTTCCCCACGATGATCTATGGCACGGTTATAAATTGGAGAGGTGAATAATTGGGGGTGGAGATTGTCGTCGGGATTAGCGATGAGGCGCACGTGATGCCCTGAAGGTGTTTGGCAAAGACGGAGTTTCATCAGCCAAAAGCCAGGGATGAGAATCTCAGGAGTTTGCCAAACTCGAAGCCCAGCTTAGATTGGCGTCTCGCACAACAATTGCGACAGATTGAGTTGAGTCTCCTCGAGACTTGTGAGCACAATCACTGATAAGTAGTGCTGGGATTTTCTCTATTCTCTACACTGATTGCTCTGGATTGTCTACAAGTAGACAAATGGGAAAATACATTCAATTTCTGTACAAAAAAAAATTAATTAAGAAGAATGGAAATTTATGGAGAATTTTCCGTGTTTGCGATTACACAAAACTGTATCAAAGCTTTTAAAATAATGACAGTTCTTAGAAATCTTTCATGGTTTTTTTTCAATTTTTGTACACTTCACTTGAACAGGTTTAATAAAAAGCCACAGAAAGTTATAAATTCGGTGAATTTTCAATAAAGCATACATATTAAAATATTCAGTTGAATTGAGATGATTAAATATATATATTTAAAATTGAGCCTAACGATTTAGCACTTAACTCTATTTATACCTGACCCAAATCAGAAATAAACCAAGCTTTAGAGATGATTTTTCACAAAGACTCTTTTTTTCAATTTTTCAATAGTTCTTTATTCATGAGCTACATCTCAATTGCATTATAAATTCAAATCTCTCCACGGGAAAAAGCTCTGCAATTGTAAGCTTCATTAACTATGGTGACATTCGTAACGACTCAATCACCATTACCGCGAAATTCACAATGGGGCGGGAGTTATGAATAAAACAAGAGGGAGAATGCATACAGTTTGTTCCGAGAAATTCACAATTCTTCCGTGAAAAATATTCTCTTCCGAAAATCAATCATTTGCAATTTTGTGGTCATGCGAGATTGACGACACACGCAGTTCAATTGCCACTGTTTATGCCTTTTTTTGGCGTGAAGTTCCGCATTGAAGGTGGATGAGAGCCATTTCCAGAGGTTCCCTCATCAATACGCAATTTTCCACACTCTCAGCATTCCGCCAATATTGAAGTCCGCGCCTTGCGAAGCACTGGGAAGCGCACGGAGACGCTCTCCGGCAATTTATGCTCATTTTATAAACGAACAAGCTGGGGTATTTGTTGAACTTGCAAACTAAATATGTGTGTACAACAAACAAATGGTGCACTCGCCAATCTTCCAGCACGGGGTGTGAGCGCCGGTGGAGCATGGAAAGTCGGTGGCAATCGGGGGGTGGAAAAAATGTGTATAGCAGAGAGCGGGGCAGTTCTGGAGGTAAATCATTTCATCAGACTCTCGGTGTACTTTGCAAAAACACACAAGAAAGAATTAGAAGAATGATTTCATTTGAAAATGGAAAATCAGACGATATTCCTGTGAAATTACTTATAAATCTTGTAATTCTTCAGTTACTTTTAGTCAAGACACAATTCAATATTTCAAATTTAAATAAAATTAGCATAAATGGGCAAAAAATAGGATTTTTTCAACGCTTTGTATTTCTGAAATTTACTCAAGTCATGCAATTGCCTCAGTTTTCCCTAATCACCACAATGTTGCCACCTGTGTGTGTGAGAAAAATGATGAGAATGTGAGGGAGAAATTGGGGCTCAGGTGGAAAAAGTGCCCGGAGTTTCACACAATATAATGTTCAAACTCAATTTTAGATTGGCTATGGAGAGACGCCTGGAGTGGAGGAAGAGATGAGGATTCTACGCATTTCATGGCTAGGAATCCATCCATAATTTTCATGACATGAAACAAGGAAGAATTTGCCATGAATTGCCTTGGCTTATCTTCATTCTTTCCATACCCCATTCCTGCGGTGTGAGCACGACCTCGGCCACCCTGGGGAGATTCCCACCCATGTGGAGACGCCCAGAGAATTTTGCTGCCCGGATTGCCGGACGTGATGAGAAAATCCCAGAAGGAATGCAATATTTTCAATGGCATCGCGCCGTATCACAACTATCTCTGGCGAAGTGATTTTTCCAAGGGGTCGATTCTCCATATAAAATATTAATGGAATAGAGAGAGAGAGAGAGAGAGAGAATATTCCGCACAAATGCCACACAAATATAAATCATTAAGGGCGAGAGATGATGATTTGTGAGATCGCACACACAAATCAGGCCACCAGAAGAAGAGGCTCTCCGAGAAGCAATTTTCCACTGTATTCATTTCACCTCTCACAAAGCCCTGTTATTTATCCGCAAATACCAGCTGAATACTCGTGTTCGGGCTCTTCAAATATTCAACCAAATAACCCGTCAAAGTTGTGAAGCAGACGTTATTAAAAAATGATATTGTTCCATTGAATGGCATAGGAAAATTGTACGTATGGAAACTGACGTTTAGCATTTAACGCGAAACATATTTCAATTAAATTTTATTATTACTCTACAAGTTGTGTGGCAAAAACGCCATGATTTTCCTGGGAAAAGTTAATTTAGTGTAATCACAGAAAATTGTGTGATTCTTTGACGGAGAGACAACAAATATACTGAATTAATTTGAGAATTAAACACAATGTGAAATGTGAAAAACAACAAGCTAAAATTTTCACCATGAACATGATGAAAATAGACTCTTTCGCACCACAAAATTTATAGTGCAAATTGCAGTTTAAGCTTTCAATACCACTAAACAGTGGGGAATAATTTGCGCCTCTTTGGAGAATTTTCTCAAATCGAGAGTGCATTAAATGCTTCTCTGTCACACTTTGTCACCTCATGACTGGTTGAGTGCTTTATTTATGCGCTGTTGATGATGGCAAATCAATGACCTAATTGCTCATTCCCTGCACTCCATAAATCCCACTAATTTGCTCACAACGATGAGACGCTGATGTGGATTCAATCATAAAATTGGAGGAAAATTTTCCACCTTGTAATTAGTTATCTAACTCTCTTTCTCTGTTCACTAATATTCACGGCTGAAGTGGAGATTCTCTCGGGATTTCGAGAGTGAGAGAGAAGAGCGACTGTAAAGATCTCATCAGCTGAATTGAGTTGGTTCTGTTTTCATTTCAAAAGTAAATTCATTAACGCACCAAATAAACAAGATAAGGAGGACGCGAGGAGTGGCAGAGAATGAACGATTTCTGTCTTCTCCGTGATATTGGGAAAAGAAAGAGGAGCGCGCGTCTACGCATGGGAATTGTTTGTATTCGTGATTTTGCCGTAAAGTGTTTATCTCAGCGAAACAGACAATTTATCTGCATCAATTTTAATAGTTTTTCACGCGATTTTTCATTATTATTTTGTTTTGTTTACATTTTTTTTCTTCCCCACAAAAAAAGCGCCTAAAGCTTTCCTTTGATTCTGATCTGTCCAGAATTGGCAAAACGTGCCTGAATTAGCAATGTTCTTGTACTGTGAATTCACTTACCGTGAAAGAATGACCGCAAAGCCTGGAAAGTTCTTTGGCATTATAAATAACTTTCACGCTGGTAATCCTTTTGGTTCAGTGGTTGATCATACAGGTGTGCACGGTAAATTGCAGCCAATTCAAGGGGTGAAGATTGTGCTTCTCTCATTTATTCACTCACATTTAAAGCGATAACTCAGAATAAGTACAGTTTAGTTTAATATATGATAATTAAATAATAAAATGAATCGCAAATTGCATATTTATTCACATTAATCATCCTTCAAAATTCACCTAAATTTCTCGGTCTTGATTCTTTATCCCTCGGCGACTCTTTGGTGACGCTATTTAGCCGAGCATTCATACATGTGCTCTTGTAGATGATGGAAAAACAGAGAAAAGACATGGTTAATGGGAATTTGCGGGGAAATTGTGGGAGTGGCGCGCACAGGAAAAGGATTGACTCAATTTCAAAAATACATCAAAGGGAGTTGACTTGTAAATTAATTACCAGCAGAAGTAATCAATGTTTCATTTTGAGAAGTATAATCGCGTCGCTTGAAATTTGAATTTCACATTAGCGCGCGCGCCAAGAAGGCATAGAAAATACAAGGAGTTTTGCAGTCTTCCTTATGTGAGATAAGAAATTATCACCATGGCGATGGTAAGAAATTTTGGATGTAAATGTTATTCATTATGCTATTTTAGTCCCTAAAATTCCTCACGGAAAAGTAATATAACACAGTGCATAAATTAGCAATGTGTCTTCAGTGAAAATTTCTATTAGCAATTCAGCGGGAAAATTGGGACGATTTGTTAGACAG